GTGTCAGTTCACTTTTACAATCATTGATTTCTGGGCCTGTGCTTGCTGTTAAGCCTGACAACGTGAGTTTGATCCCTGGAATCCACTTGATGGAAGGAAAGAACCCCCTGTCCCAAGTTTTCCTCTGACTTCTGTGACAAATTAGCAGTCTCACATATACAAATAAATATAACTTTACATTTTATAAAATTGATTTTAGTATTTTTGATTCATTCTTTCCATTTAATCTTTTTGTGTATCTGCCCTTCTTAAATTGAATATTTTATAGCTTGGTTGTAGGAAATAATTAGGCTGTGACTTTGTCTTTGAGCACTGCCGTAGCTGTGTCTCAGTGTATTCTATGTAGTGTTTTATTATTTTTCTAATCTTGCAGTTTTGTTATTTAAGGCAGTTTTATTTACTACTTTTGTCGTTTATAACAACATTGTTTTATACCCAGAAATCCTGTTGTTTGTACTGTTTGTAATTTATCCGTAATTCTCTTTAGTCCTGTGTGATATGCATGCATTAAGTTTTAATGACGATTTCATGGTATCTTAAAGCTATTACCACTGTCAACTTTTTTTGACTTTTTAAATTTAGTATATGTTTTGATACTGTGGTATTCAGTTTATGAAAAATTTTAGTTTTTCATTATTTTTATTTTATTAATGTGAAATATTTTTCATCCATTATATTTTTATCCTTGATTTTTTTCATGTGATAGTAATACTGTTTCATTTACATTTTCTTATAATTAAGTATTTAGTGTATGTGCATAGTAGCCAGAATTACCCAGCATCGATTACCTGTTAACTCGGCAACTCTGGACCCCTTCATATTTATTTAGTAACTTTAATTCTTTTGGGATTTAAATTTTTTTCTAATTTAATGTGTAGGGTGGTATACAGTGTGTATACCATGTGCGTGTCTGGTGCCACCGGGGAACCAGAAGAGGGCATCCATTTTTCTGGGACTGGAGTTACATAGTTGATAGCTGCTGTGTGGGTACTGTAAATTGAACCCAGGTCCTCTGGAAGAGCAGCGAGTGCTTTTAACCACTTAGCTATCCCTCTATTCTCCGTTCAGTGGTTTTTGTAGTCATAGTTTTAATTGATTAATATCTTTACCATTTTTTTTTGTTTTGTTTTGTTTTGTGATGTCTTGCACTAAAAAAATAGTGGGTTGTCCCTTTCTCTGGCCCTTTTCCAGCTACTCTTTGTTACTGATGAGAAGGATGGCATTTATTTGAGTGAGGTAGTGCAGAGTGTAGTCCCTGCTCTGGTTGCCTGCCCCCTTTTTCACTTAAAGCACTTACCTCTGTCTGTGCTGGTTACTCAGAATATTTGCATGTAAGTTGCCTTCCAATCCCTTGTTGCTTTTTACTAAATCATGCCTTGTTTAGGGATAAAGTTATTGTTGCAGTGTGTTTATGTATTATTATGGGTGACACACACGACAGAGAACACGTGGAGGGTAGAGGACAACTTTTTAGAGTTGATTGTCTCGTAAAAGTTGCAGCTTTGAGAATTCTGGGGACAGAACTCGGGATGCCTGCAAACACCTTTACCCACTGAGCCATCTCAGTGGTCCTCAGTGTATTTTGTTGTAAGTGTTAATAAGCCCTGTGTCCTAGAGGCAGCAGCTTACTTACTAACTTAAGGTCACAGTTGGTTGTAAGATAGCATGCTGAGTCCAGTACTAAGCACATCAAAACCAAATTACAGTTTTGTTTTTTAATGTCCCTGTAGTTTCATAGTTCTCACTTTGAATATTCTAATATTTTGACCTCATAATTTATTTATTTATTTATTTTTTTTACTTTTGTCTGTTTGCATGCATGGAGGTCAGAAGACATCTTGTGGGAGTTGGTATTCTTTCCACTGTGGCCTCTGCTTATTGAGCATAGGTTGTCAAACTTAGTAGCAAGTCTTTTTACTTGATGGGCTATCTTGACAGCCATAAGATGTATTTCAAATCACAGCCTTTTCTAATTATTGTTTGAGATGCACAAAGGAATATACATCATTGTTACCAATTGAGAGCAGTCGGGAGGAAAATTAACACATTAGTTAAATCAAGAGAGTACTTAGCCTAAATTACTAATAAAAGGTTTAATAAAAGGTTTGTCAGTAAACATCAAAAATGAAAAGGATGAGTCTGGAGAGATGGCTTAGTGGTTACAAGCATTTGCCACTTCGCAGTGGAACCTGAACCTGGTTTAGTTTTCAACAACCACAAAGCACTCAAAACCATCTGTAACTCTAGTTCCAGGGGATCTAACTCATGCACTCATATATTACATGCAACAAAAACTTAGATGTATTTAAAAAGGATGAAAATGATGGGGCCAGTGAGATTGCTTGTGGCCAAAACCTACAACATAAGGTTCTTAGATCCACACAGTGGAATGTGGGACTCTGAAAGTTATCTTCTGGCCCAACAATGATCCCATACGCATACACACTATCTTAGGGTTACTTAGGGTTATCACTGTAATGAAACACCATGACCAAAGCAACTTGAGGAAGAAAGGGATTATTTCACTCAGTTTAATATTATCAAAAGCAGTGAGGGCAGGAACTCAAATAGGACAGGAACCTGAAGGCAGGGGCTGGCCCAGCAAGTGGTGCCATGAAGGAGGGCTGCGTTCACACATGGCTTACCAGGTTTCCTACAAAACCCAGGACAACCAGCTCAGGGGTGGCCCCACTCACAATGGGCTGGGCCCTTCTATCAATCATGAAGTGAGACAATGTCCTACATGCTTGCCTACATTTTAATATTATGGAAGCATTTTCTCAGTTGAGGCTTTCTCTGCTTTGATGTCTCTAGCTTGTGTCAAGTTGACATGAAACTAGTCAGCACACACACTAAATATTATAATAATAATAATAATAACAACAACAACAATAATAAAAATAATAATAAAGGCTGGGAGAGGTGGCACACGCCTTTAATCCTAGCACTCAGGAGGCAGAGGCAGGCAGATCTCTTGAGTTCAAGGCCAGCCTGGTCTACAAAGTGAATTCCAAGACAGCTAAGGCTACACAGAGAAACCCTGTCTCCAACACACACACATTTGAGTGAAAGCCCTCCAAACAATAGGTAGACTATTAGTTTTTACACTGTAATTTCTCTTGTACTATAGTTTGCTTAAGTACTGTAAAAATATGAAGTCACATTGGAAGAAAAATCAGGAGTAGTTTCTATACTAGAAACTATTAACGTGAGAGATAATCGATTAAATTCGGGAAATGTGTAGAGAGGGATGGATGACAACCTGGAGTTGACCATGAAGGAGGAAGCTGAGTTGAACACAGTGATCAAACCTCAGTTACAGCAGCATCCTGTAGAAGCTATGATAAACAGCTTTCTCGTTTAGCCTACAATAGTTGCAACTATTTGTTGTGGTTACAATAGGCTGGGTGATGGATTAAGACCATCCCTGTTTTATAGAAGTGAGTGAAACAAATGAGATTTACAGTCCTGCTAAAGGTGTTTTACTGCTGGACTAGATAGAGTTCTTAAGCCTTTGCCAGAATTTTCTTAAGTGTCTTCTCCGGTACCAGAGTTTTGTTCTGATTGGACTGTTGCAGGTAGAATGAATGGTGTGCCAGTCATTACAGAGCAGGCAGTATTTAAACAAGCTTGTGTCCTGTGCTTTGTAATGACCAATGCCTTTGACACTGGGAAGTCTTATGGAAGAGACATAGAGGTTCTTTGGGTCTGGAGTTGAAGCCTAAGCACAGAATCCATGTCAGTCATTTCCGATATGAGCTCTATTTTTGCAGCTTTAAGGTGCTTTTATTGTTATTTACAGATAGTCACTGAACCATCAGATTCACCTGTCAGTTTCCACTTACAGGTAGACCAGACAAGTGGTTTCTTAGACTTGTCTTAGGTGCTGCCCAGGTTATTCCTCACGCTTGGCAGCGGCACAGGTGTCCATCCTGTCACCTGCATTTGCTTCCTATTCTGAACTTGTCCTTTTCTCAGACATATTCACCCGTGGAAGATTGTTAACGTTGCCCTTTTGTGTGGAAATGAAGGGTTTTCCTCCTGTATCTTCTAAATTCTTGAGATAGGGACCAAGGCCCACATGGTTGTATCCACTTAATAACTGTAGCACTGTAGGATGATGAGGCAGGAGGATTGCAAGTTTGAGGTAGTCTGATTTATGTAATGAATTTTTGGAGCAACCCAGGTTACACAGTGAAGTCATGTCTCAGATGAGAAAGCAGAAACCAAACATAGAGGTGCTGGAGAGATGATTCAGCATTAAGAGCACTTACTGCTTATCTGGAGAACCTGGGTTAGAGTCTCAGCTCCCAGGTGGTGCCTCACAACCATTTGTAACTCCAGTCCCTTCTGGGGGCCTATGTCATGCACAGTGGATATATGTGGAGGCAGAACACCCCTACACATAAAATGAAAATACGTAAATTTTTGAGTTAAGACTATAAAAATAGAGTTGAGCAAGAATAGTAAAGAACTGAAGATTTCTTTAAGGTTCTCAACCTTCCTAAAGCTGTGTCCCTTTAATACTGTTCCTCAACGTGTGAAGACCTCCAACCATAAAATTAATTTGTTGTTACTTCATGACTGTAATCTTGCTACTGTTACAAATTGTAATGTAAATATCTGCTGTGTGCGACCCACAGGCTGAAAGCCACTGTTTTAAGCCATCAGCAGTTTGCCCAACTTGTTCTTTTGGTCCATAGTTAAGTAACAAATGTTTGTTCTCTAGCAGAATATGGTAAAGAGATGATAAACAAGAGCATCATCCTGGTCAAACAGCCACCCTTGTGGACACTTGAGTAGATGTGAGGCACTTGTCAGGAGAAGTAAAGTTTGACTCCAGGTAGTGGCATCTCTTCAGAAACTTGACACTCTGAATGAAGGTGTTCTGATGCTTTAAGGCTTTTGTTCAGGTTGTTTTCATGGTGCCTTTGAGTTTGAAGGTAAGGTATACTTCACTAGCTAATCTTTTTCCACCTCTTTTCTTTTGTTGGAATTAGTGCCAGAACAGATAAAGCCCACTGTAAGCCAGCCTCAGCCTGCCAACTCTGATAACGGCACTTCTACAGCAACCAGCACTAATAATAATGCCAAGCGAGCTACAGCCAGCAATCAGCAGCCGCCGCCGCAGCAACAGCAGCAGCAGGAACAGCAGCAGCAGCAGCCGCCACAGGCCTTGCCTCGATATCCTCGTGAAGTACCTCCACGGTTTCGCCACCAAGAACATAAACAGCTTCTGAAGAGGGGTCAGCATTTTCCTGTCATAGCAGCAAACCTGGGATCTGCTGTTAAGGTGTTAAACCCCCAATCAGAGAGCACTGCTGTAACAAATCAACAGCTGCAAAATAACGGAGAGGTACAGAACAGCAAAAGCCAGTCAGGTGAGAAAAGAGGTTTCCTAACAGGACTCATTGGCAGTGTAGTAAATGTTCAGTCTATAGTTCTTGGTGGCGTGGTTCATGTACCAAGAACTGGGCTTTGATTTTAGAATCCTGAATAGGAAGCTTGAGTGGTGAATTCTTTACATCAGTTTCATATTTGTCTTACTTAGAAAGTGAATATTGTCTTCCCATATTTTAAGAAGTTTGTGATTAAAATTGAGGCCTCCTGGCTCCTTGTATTCCTCAGATTCGTACATTTACTCCTCAGCAGCCCCACACAAGGGAACTATCATCTTTATCCCTGACCATCCCTGGCAGTTACTTATTTGCTGCCTGAATGCTCTTTTTTAAGTATACCAAGCACTAATCTGTATTAGGATATATTTGATACTTCACAGCTAGTAAACAGCACATTTTGGAGTCAGGTTCTGCCTGATTCCAGAGCTATGCGCATAACCACTGGTGCTCTTTGGCAGTACATTGGATATGATAGGAAAGGAAAGGGACAACATTTCTAATCTAGGTCTCTAGAGTGGCATATCATTAGAAGGATACAGACCTACTTCCTGTATCCCTGTGTGAAATTGACCAAGAAACTAATTAATGAGATTTTCTTTGTTTTGGGTTGTTTTCCTCTGAAAAAGAGTCATACCTTGGAACTCTAGCTATCCTTGAATTCTGAGAAATTCACCTGCCTCTGCCCCTGAAGTGCTGTGATTAAAGGTGTATGCCCCTGTAGTGCTTATTTTTAAAATTCTACTTTACTTGGGGTATTTAGGTCTCAGACGACCTCCCTTCCAACCTCCCAACCCTACGTAGGTCAGAGAAGTTTAGGGTGAAGAGAGGGCCCCTTTACTTTTCGTGGCTGTTGAGAGTCAATATGTCCTTTAGGGCTCTATTCCAATCTTCATCAACAGCAAACACAGCCAGTAGTCTCCTCCACGCTGCTGCACCCTGAAGCGTTTCTCTCTGTCGATCTGCTCCAAACCGCCACCTTGTCTTTGGTCTCTGGTCTCTCAAACTGCTGCATACCACACGCCAGCACCGAATGCCACACCTCTTTCTCAGCTCTCACATTTATACTGTCAGAGTCCTAGACAACGCCCCTCTTTGTGCTGCGTGTGGAAGGCCGTTACCAGCTGGCAAAAGCCACGCCCCACAGGAGACAGTTAACAGGTGTGGACAAACTAGCCCAGCTAAAATCCCACACTTGGGATTAAAACAAAAGCATATTTACATAACATAACTGAGTTTACAAAGAAACCAGAACTTCCATTACATGCCTCCATACCTTTTATGAACTTACAGTGTAGAAACTAATACACAACCTTATAAGGGTGCTTTGAAGTCTAAATTGTATGAGCCATTAAAGCAGTCAGCCTAGTGCCTACTGTGTAAATGTGAAATAAACTCTCTCATCCCTATATCTTAGTTAGGGTTTTTGTCGCTGCTGCAAAACACCATGACCAGAAAGCAAGGTGGGCAGGAAAGGGTTTATTTGGTTTATACTTCTATATCTGTTCATCATCAGAGGAAGTCAGGTTAGGAACCTCAAACAGGGCAGGAACCTAGAGGCAGGAGTTGATGCTGTGGCTATGATGGAGGGATGCTTACTGGCCTGCTCCTCATGGCTTGCTCAGCCTCCTTTCTTACAGCACCCAGGACCATCTAGGGGTCCCGTCACCCACAGTGAGCTGTGCCCTCTCCCATCAGTCACTAACTAAGAAAATGCCCTTCAGCTAGATCTTATGGAACTGTTCTCTCAATTAATGTTTCTTCCTTTCGGATAACTCGTGTCATGTAGACATAAGACTAGCCAGCACACCCTAACGTTTATAGAAAGACCTACTTTTTTTTCAAGCATTGTATGTAGGCCAGATTGTAGGTAATTAAGAAGTTGAATGTTATTTGGAAAGCCAGGTTGGAAAAAAATGTATTGGTTAGCAGCATAAGCAATCATTACTGAAGTTTTAGGAGAGTATTACTTATTCAGCAAATGCCTGAGTACATATTATGAAGCAGGTATGATGATATATAATAAACAGACAGTGAAGTTACATAGTATACTTAGGGAATTTTATGAATGTTTCTTCCATTTGGGGAAGGAAAGAACAAGGCTATTTTTAAAACGGAAACAGCACTAGTGCAAGAATCGTGTATCTCAAAAAATAAGTGTGGGACTGGAGAAACAGTTCATTCAGTAAAGTGCTTACTGTGCAAGCATGAGACTGAGTTAGATGTCAGTACCCTATGAAACAAAGCCAAATAGAGTGATGCATGTTTGTAATCCTAGCACTGGGAAGACAGGGTAAAGGAGGGTCCTTTGGACTTGCTGACAAGCTAATCGACCCAGATTGACCCTGTTGAGATTTGGTGACAGACTGTGTGAGAAAATAAGACTGAAGACACCCAGAATCAGCCTGTGTCCTCCACACACATCCAAAATCAGGGACACAGACACAGAATGAGTATGGGTCAGAGGAATCAGGTTTTACAGGTTGCATCCTGATGTAAGGTCTCAGGTGTGAGCTTAGGAAAAAGCCTTCAAAGGCATCGAGGAAGGAGATCCTCCTGCCTGTTTCTAGAAGAGCTTGGCAAGTAGGGCACCGCATTTTTTTGGAGGCATTAAATCCCAAAGCTATTAGTGAATGCAGACTATGAAACTGAAACACTCTGAAGGATGAGATTTGCACTTTTGTCTTAAAAAGGTTTATTTATGTGTCATTGTGATCCTGCATGAGTGTATTTGTACTGTGTGTGTAACACTAACAGTCTGAGTTCAATCTTGAGAACCCACGTGAAGCTGATAGGAGATGTCTTCTGACCTCTGACACGTGGGTGCACACACTCACATATAATGCACACAGTTTCAGACTGCTTCTGTGCACTTGACTGCTGTAGCCGGGACAGATCCCACTCTTGCTCAAATAGCCTGAGTTGGAAGACTCTCGTGGTGGTAATAACACTCAGCTCCAATAGAAAGCTATTGTTATGGCCAAAAATGCTCTGATCTCTCCATCTTCGTGACACAATCCATGCAGTACAGCTATAAAGACCAGAACAGCAAATGTTCTTCTCCACTTCAAGGGGCTGAAGCATTCTTAGTTGACTCACTATGGTTTTTTCATTCCTCTCTCACACATACATGCACATGTTCATTATGCTTAAACCATTGGAAAGTGGGTGGTGAACCTCATGGCACTTCATGTTTAAGCCCTGAGACTAAGGGTGGTTTCCTCTCTAGTTTTAACCCTGATATCACTCACCCCCAGCCGCAGAACTATTAATTCAGCAGCATCTTCTAATAGTTGATGATCACATTCCTGCTAAGCATCTTAAGGACGTTTTAGCAGTTTATTCATGATATAAAAGTTTAAAAAGCACGTACCATATTGTTCAGGGATGAATTCAAATATAAAATGTAAAGGTTTCATTTCTCCACTGGCAAAATAGAGATGTAAAGTAGAGAAAGAATCTTTCCTTACTGCTGTATAGTGTATTTATTAAGATGAAATGTTACAGAACATTCTTAAGTTATTAAATTGTTCTTTAACTCTGCTGTATTTTAAATATCTCCTTCCTTCCTTTCCTTCACTTTTTTTTTTTTTTTTTTTTAATGCTCAGCATATACTTTTAGTCCTGGCACTCAGGAAGGCAGAGGAAGTGCATCTCTTGAGTTCGAGGCCAACCTGGTTTACAGAGTGCGTTTCAGGACAGTCAGGGCTACACAGAGAAACTGTCTGGGGAAAAACAAAACAAACAAAAAAACCTCAAAGACACTTAAACTGAAATGGTGAATGAGCAAGAATTGGGAGAGCATTAAGCTTTTTGAAAGTGTTTGAAGGTTGAAATGCACCCTGCCCCTTTTTTTGGTCTCTTCCAAAGCACATGTAACTTAGGCTTCCAGCTCTCACTTGTCCTTCCCTACACCTGTGCACACACTGTAGTCTGTACTTGCTTGGGATTCCATCTGAGCCTCCATGCCTTTAGTAAGACTCTTAGAAAAATTTTATTCTCCTGTTTTTAAAGCTCTTAAAGGAATGGCTTATACTGTCTAGTATCTAGTCTCTGTAAACTGGCTCTTGCTTTACTGACCAGAGCCTCTGATAGAAGGATGCAGACTGTTAAAGATACTCAACTGTGAGTTCTGTTTTGTGTCATTTTCAAAGTTTTTTTTCTAAGTAGATGTTGTTTGTGTTCTTAGAAGTTGTTTGTATTTAGTTCTGCTTTTGTTTTTCCCTAATCACTTCTTTCTTAAAGTTCCTTCACTGCTTGGCTTCTCTGTTGTCCTGTATCCCTCCTTTTCCTATACCTTCTGCTTCTCTTGTGTATTTACCAGTTTCTGTCACCAGCTCTGAGGTTTTACTCTTTCCTGTGGCTTTTTTTATGTTCTCCACATTTCAGGAGTCATGTCTTCCAGAATCTTCAGCTAATAATAGGTTCTTTGATTCTCACTATGTGTAAACTTGAACTCATACCACTTCTTGATGCCTCTGGTTCAAAAATTGGCAAACCATTCATCCAAGAACCCATCAAGAATCATTAAATCATTCTTGAATTTTCATCTTTGTAACTCACAACTCATTGGTTTACCATGCTGTGCTCGTTTTGGACTTTGGGATTCCTGTTTTTTTTTTTTCCTCTCCCCTTAGTACTGTCAGTTGCCATAGTTGAAGTACTCAACATCTGGTCGAGAGCAATGTGCAACTTGTAGCAACTTTTCCTGTACCCTCTGATTGACATGCTGTCCATGGCTGATGTCAGGACACATTAGCAGAATGGAATAGTTGCCACAACAAATGCCATTAGCATCCCACTCAGTAGTTCTAGAAGAGTGGACTAGCTCTAGCCCCATCCCGCCCATGAAATTATTAATTGGATCAAAAGTTTGCTGGCCCTAGACCAAAGGTTGGATGGAATACCAGAGGCGTGTGATCACTCTTGAACATTATTTGCTGAAGCATGATCAGCCTTGAGTATTCTTTACTTCTGAAGCTTTTGTTCTGGTGAGACTTAAAGTGTTTAAGGTAAAAAGGAAACATTTTGAGTATTTATAAGGGAAAAAATGTATGAATTTTCTTCACTCTCATCCTTCAGTTCTTACTGAGAATGTTGTTTCTTTCATCAGTCATTAACTGTCACCAGTTGTGGCTCTGTCCTACAGACTTTTAGCTTATCTATTCCCAACGCAGAGTTTCATTCTTTTTGGTGTGGGGCTAGAGCTAGAGCTGGCCCACTCTCCTAAAACTATTCTGAGTGGGATGCTAATGGCATTTGTTTGTTTTTCTCACTGTGTAGCCCTGGCTGTCCTGAACTCAACCTGTAGACCAGGCTGGCCTCGGACTCACAAGATCCTCATGCTTCTGCCTCCCCACTGCTGGGATTAAAAGCTTGCACCAGCATGCCCAGCACTGTTGGCATTTTGGATTTCACTTCTTAGTAATGTGCCTCTAACAGGATCTTTGTAGCACCACATTGTATAAAACCTTATGTTTTACATTTACTCAGTAATGCTTCCTTTCTCCCTGCTAATACGGGGTTTGTTTGTGATCTTAACGTTCCTCACTATTTCTTGGGGGAAAGTCCTGGTCATGTTGTACTCAGAAGCCTGGATGTTTTTCTCCTCTCGCATTGCTTAGAGTAATGGGCTTCGGCTTCCTGGTTCTACTGGGTTACCTTCCTGTCTGATCAGCCTCCTGTTCTGTGACTCCTGAGTTGTTTTCCTTTCGCACCATTACCCTCGCTACAGTGTAGCATTTTCATGATAAAAAATGCCTTGAGAGTCATCTGTGATAATCCAGGATTTGTTTAAAGTATCAAGTGCATTACAGTTTTAAAATGGAGTTTTAGGTCATAATTACTGAAGGCACCTCTCCCTATTTGTGTAACATAACTAAGAATACATAACAACAGCACACCATTAGATTACCACAATATCTTCAGGTGTGGTCAAGGCCAGAGTCTGAGAACACATGTAATATAGCCTTAGAGGTGATGGAACCCCTTCCCAGGTGTCAGCCGGCTGCTGCTGCTTTCCATGATCTGTCAGATATCAAATTGGCTATTTTTATGGTATTATGGTTTCTTTGGGATAGGGTGGGGTGAGGCAGGGGGTTAACACAAAGCCTCATTTTGTAACCCAGACAGACCTGAAACTGTCCATGCTCCTGTACTAGCCTCTATAGCATCATTACTACTATTGGCTTCCTTTCTTTTCCTTTTCCTTTTTTTTTTTTTTTTTTTTTTTTCTTTGAGACAGGGTCTATCTGTTTAGCTCTAGTTGTCCTGGAATTTACTATGTAGACCAGGCTAGCCTTGAACTCACAGAGACTACTGACCTGCCTCCCAAGTGCTGGGATCAAAGGTAAGAAACAGGCAGCCCTGTTTCTTTTTTTACGAATTAAAAAAAAAATTATTTTGGGCTGGAGATACGGCTCAGTGGTTAAGAGCATTGGCTGCTCTTCCAAGGACCTGAGTTCAATTCCCAGCAACCACATGGTGGCTCATAACCATCTCTACTAGGATCTGATGTCCTCCTCTGGCATCCATCAGATGAAACACTTGTACATATATACATACATATATACATACATGCTTTAAAAAATCTTTAAAAATTATTTTTGCCAATATTGTGTTTTCCTCCTTGCTCTTTCATTTATTTATTCATTCATTCATTCATTCATTCATTCATTCATTCATTCATGTATTGTATGTATATGAGTGCTGTGTTTTCATGCACACTAGAGGTGGGAATCAGATCCCATTACAGATGGTTGTGAGCCACCATGTGGTTGCTGGGAATTGAACTCAGGACCTCTGGAAGAGCAGCCAATGCTCTTAACCACTGAGTCATCTCTGGAGCCCACCAGTCCTTACTCTTTTTTTTTTTTTTAATAAGATTTATTTATTATTATTTACACAGTATTTCTGTCTACATGTATGCTTGCATTCCAGAAGAGGGCATCAGATTTCATTATAGATGGTTGTGAGCCACCATGTGGTTGCTGGGAATTGAACTCAGGACTTCTGGAGGAGCAGTTAGTGCTCCTAACCTCTGAGCAATCTCTCCAGCCCCACTCCTTACTCTTAAAACTTTAATAATTTGGTGTTTTTGATTTATTGTCTTATTTTAAATAAACATTTTCCAAGTACTGAACATTGGTTTTCTCCTACAAGTTGAAAATGTTGACCTTCACTGTATCTTTGGCTTCTTCTTGGTTCTGTTCCTGACTTGACTTTTCGTTTAGCTTTCGTGCTTATACGATCAGTCTCAGTTTACTGCTGTTTGTTCTGTGATCCTGCAGACTCCTTCTTTGGTAAGTTCCTCTATTTGAACCTGAGGCCTGTTCTTCTCATACCTGTTACATTGGAATGTCAAAGGCACTTTTAATCCTGTTACACACTTTAAATCCAGAGTCTTGCTACTTCAAGTTTTGAGTTTCTGTGGCAATTATCTGTGCAATAAAGGCTAATTATATAGGACTTTTAAGTATATTTTCTCCATTGATACTTATATATACAAATATATATATATGTGTGTGTATATATACACACACACATTTATACATATACACACACACCTGGAATATAGGAAAATACTTTTTCTTGGTAATTTTTCTCTTGTAAACCTCCTTCCTCAACTGCTAGGATCATAAGCTTGTTTCTGCAGTGTTTTTATTTGGCTTTGATTTTGGTTTTGGTTTTTTGAGACAGGATCTCTCTTTTTAGCCCTAGCTGTCCTGGACCTTGCTCTGTAGACCAGGCAGGCTGGCCTCAAACTCAAGAGATCTCACTGTTTCTGCCTTCCTGTGCACCACCGTGCCCAGCTTGGAGACATTTTCTTAATTGAGGTTCCCTCTCATGATTTTAGCTTGGTGAAGTTGACATAAAACTCAGTTTCTATAAGTTAGCTTCTGTCCCTTGGTGTCTCACATACAAAGTGAGGCTAATGCTTGTATTCTAGAATTGTCACAAGGACTTGGTATAGAGGTTTGCAGAGCTACTGCTGTGTAGCAATGAATACTGGCCATGGATTGATGTTGCTCTGTGTTGCAGTATAGAATTATTTCTTTCCAGGGAGAATGATTTATTTGGTTCATTCATTTCATACGGAGTTTTCATGAGCACTGAGAGAAGACAAACTTCATTGGCTGCCTTTTTGGGGGGTAGACAGGGTTCTAACTATATAACCTTAGCTTGACTCTGAGTCACAGAGGAGACACAGTTCTGCCTCCTGAAGGCTTGGACTAGAGGTGTGACCATAACCAGCTACTGGCAGCTGCTTGATGAAATAGTTGTAAAAGGGATCAGTGGTGCACTTTGCAGTACTTGGCTTATGTTCACTGGGTACATTATAGGTCCATCTCTAGTTGCTTTTCTTGCTGTTCCTGTACCTCTTCACCACTTGCTTCTTAGCATTTGTGCTTTGAGAGAAAGTAGTGCAAGCAGAGTCATTTATTTATAGTAGCAGATCACACTAGTAGTGAGACTTTTATTTCTAGACCCACACCCACTGGGAATTAAAGTGTAGGCTATCCTTCAAGACAGCCTAAATGCAAATGTTTTATGTAGCTAGTGTCATAGATACATTTCTACCCACCAGAGTCTTACAATGAGATAGACTGACAAGCTAGCAGAAACACTGTAGTGATGCTGTCTGTAGAAAAGAGTGAAAGTAAATAAAACTAGATGATATTTACATGGCAGTAAGTCTAAGACTTGGTTATATGGTTGACACTGTCGTCAGTGTCAGTTGCTGAGTTACTGTTCATAATTTGGTGATTTTTCAACATATCACTTTTTTTCCTGTTGTCTCTTCATAAACATGGCTATAAAAGTAAATTAGGGAATTGCCTAAAATTAATATCCTTGCTTTGTGTAACACTGTATTTAAATGTATGCACTAATAAAATAGAAATACAATGTAAAAGGCTTTGGGATTCTTACAGAATTGTTATAATACCCAAAGGTGTCATGTGTAAAGCAATTTTAGGAAACCAGATCATTTGGAGATGCTTTTACCCTGCATCCTGCTTCTCTCCCCCCCCTACTCCCCCAGGTTAAGTCTCTGAGCCTGGGTTGCCCTTATTCATCACTGCCACCTAGTCTTTCTCACTCAGAATTCTTGTGTTTGTTGGGATGTTATTAGTTCATGCATTGAGCAGTACTTCTCTGGGACTTTCTGCTCCATGCTGTACTATATGGTGTTGAGCAGAGCAGAATTCTGCCTGTGAAATTACTAAACATGGAGAGTCGGTGGCTGGAAGATAACCAGTGCCTTGTACCCATTCTGTGAGGGCATCTTGCTAATGTTGAAGAGCTATGTGTATTTGTAATGGATCGTCATTTTTCTCAACCTATGTGATACCATTTTGGAAATGGTTAGCACTTATAAATAGTTGTACTTCTCCTTTATCCTAGATATAAATCATAATACTTCAGGATCCCATTATGAAAATTGCCAGCGGGGACCTGTGTCTTCTACAAGTGACTGTAGCACAAGCTGTAAGAATGCTGTAAACGACTTGTTGGAAAAAGAAGCATGGCCCTCAGCCCCTGGCAGTGATCCTGAGTTGCCTTCAGAATGCATGGATGCTGATTCTGCCTCCAGTTCTGAGTCAGAGAGAAACATCACTGTCATGGCTTCAGGGAACACAGGTGGTGAAAAAGAAGGCCTTCGGAACAGCAGTGGACTCGGTTCTCAAAGCAAGTTTGTGGTTGGTAGCAGCAGCAATAATGTGGGCCATGGAAGTAGTACTGGGCCATGGGGCTTCCCCCATGGAGCCATAATAAGCACATGTCAGGTCTCTGTGGATGCTCCTGAAAGCAAATCAGAAAGTAGTAGTAACAATAGAATGAATGCTTGGGGCACTGTAAGTTCTTCATCAAATGGAGGGTTAAATCCAAGCACTTTGAATTCAGCTAGCAACCATGGTGCCTGGCCAGTATTAGAAAACAATGGACTTGCCCTAAAAGGGACTGTAGGGAGTGGGAGTTCTGGCATCAATATTCAGTGTAGTACCATAGGCCAGATGCCTAACAATCAGAGTATCAACTCTAAAGTCAGTGGTTCTTCTACCCATGGTACCTGGGGTAGCCTTCAGGAAACTTGTGAGCCTGAAGTAAGTGGTACACAGAAGGTTTCATTCAGTGGTCAACCTCAGAATATCACCACTGAAACGACTGGACCAAATAACACTACTAACTTTATGACCTCTAGTTTACCAAACTCCGGTTCAGTACAGAATAGTGAACTGCCTACTAGTAATCCAGGGGCCTGGCGTGTGAGCACAATGAATCATCCTCAGATACAGGCTCCGTCAGTTATGAATGGCACTTCCCTTTCTCACCTTAGTAATGGAGAGTCAAAAACTGGAGGCTCCTACGGTACTACATGGGGTGCCTATGGTTCTAATTACTCTGGCGACAAATGTGCAGGCCCTAATGGCCAAGCCAATGGTGACACTGTGAATGCAACTCTAATGCAGCCTGGCATAAGTGGGCCTGTAGGCACTAACTTTCAAGTTAACACAAATAAAGGGGGAGGTGTATGGGAGCCTGGGACAGTGAATTCCCAGAGTTCACCATGGGGAAGTGGAAATGGTGTGAATTCTGGAGGAAGTCGAAGAGGATGGGGAAGTCCTGCACAGAGCACTGGCACTAGTCTACCCAGTGTTGAATGGAACAAACTGCCTAGCAATCAGCATTCCAATGACAGTGCAAATGGCAATGGTAAGAAGTTTACAAATGGATGGAAATCTACTGAGGAAGAGGATCAGGGTTCTGCCACGTCTCAGACAAATGAGCAAAACAGTGTGTGGGCCAAAACAGGAGGCACAGTGGAGAGTGATGGTAGTGCAGAGAGCACTGGACGCCTTGAAGAAAAAGTAACTGGGGAAAGTCAGAGTAGAGATAGAAGAAAGATTGATCAGCACACATTACTCCAAAGCATTGTAAACAGAACTGACTTAGATCCACGTGTCCTGTCCAACTCTGGTTGGGGACAGACTCCTATTAAGCAGAATACTGCCTGGGATACAGAGACATCACCAAGAGGGGAAAGAAAGACTGACAATGGGACAGAGGCCTGGGGAAGCTCTGCAACACAGACTTTTAACTCAGGGGCATGTATAGATAAGACTAGCCCTAATAGCAATGATACCTCATCTGTATCAGGGTGGGGCGATCCCAAACCTACTCTGAGGTGGGGAGATTCCAAAGGCTCAAACTGCCAGGGGGGGTGGGAAGATGATTCTGCTGCTACAGGAATGATCAAGAGCAATCAGTGGGGGAATTGCAAAGAAGAGAAGTCTGCATGGAATGATTCGCAAAAGAACAAACAGGGGTGGGGTGATGGACAAAAGTCAAACCAAGGTTGGTCCGTTTCTGCCAGTGATAACTGGGGAGAAACTTCCAGGAGTAACCACTGGGGTGAGGCTAATAAGAAATCCAGCTCAGGAGGTAGTGACAGTGATAGGTCCATTTCTGGTTGGAACGAACTTGGTAAAACTAGTTCTTTTACTTGGGGAAATAATATAAATCCAAATAATTCGTCAGGATGGGATGAATCTTCTAAACCTAATTCCTCCCAAGGATGGGGAGAGCCTCCAAAGTGTAATCAGTCTCTAGGTTGGGGAGATTCATCAAAACCAGTCAGTTCTCCAGATTGGAACAAGCAACAAGACATTGTTGGATCATGGGGCATGCCAGCAGCCACAGGCAAGCCTCCTGGTACCGGCTGGCTGGGGGGACCTATTCCAGCTCCAACAAAGGAGGAAGAACCCACAGGCTGGGAGGAGCCGTCCCCAGAATCTATACGACGAAAAATGGAGATTGACGATGGAACTTCAGCTTGGGGAGATCCGAGCAAATACAACTACAAAAATGTGAACATGTGGAATAAAAACATCCCAGACAGCAGCAGCCGCTCAGACCAGCAAGCACAGGTGCACCGGCTACTGCCGGCTGCAAGTGCTGTCTCAAGCAAAGAGGCGAGCAGTGGCTCTGGTAAGCATTCCCATGTGGGGTCCAGTAGTGTTCTGGAAGCAAGTTTTGTGTTGACATACTGTCATGAGTTCTGCTTAACAAATGCACATCAAGGCCTTTCAGCTGTGCTCCTAGGAGTCCTGTTTGCCAGGCAGTCTGTCTTTGGCAGTGTTCCTCTATTCCTGTTAGGAATTTGGTAGGAGGGCTTAAGTGGCAAAATTTCGAACTTCTCTCAGTTACTCTGAGTCAAGCCTCAACAGTTTGGTTTTACTATTGAAATATAGTAAAGCCAAGTGCCTGAGTACAGTAGCCCAGATACCTGGTTTTGTATTTGACCTTATAAGGAGTTTTCTAAATTAGGCATTAAGTCGTCTGTGTCTCCTGAGATAATAGTGGATGTACAGTGTGCATCTGAAACTTGGTGCTGTATTTTTCTAGTATATTTCTACTTTCCCTTTCCTATATTGAGCAAATACTTTTCTCTGTAAATTGGTAAGGCAACATTTTCTCTACACATGACAGGCCTGTGTTGCCTTTGTTAGTGGGGGTATTATTGAGTAATACTTTGTTGGAGAGAAAGGGCAATGTTTTCATGAAATCTTCTTTTAATATCTAATTGAGTTTGTGGGGTTTTTCCTTTTTTTTTTTTTTTTAAATATGAGTCTAGTCTGTTGATTTATTTTTAACTTTTAGGGCAAGTATCTTAAGGCTTTCTTTTGTTAGTTTGTTTTTAGACCACTTGAACCTGATGATGTAGACTTTTTCTCCTGTGTACTTTTAAATGAACATTAGCCAATGCATGTGAAGTAGGCTGCTTACCTGTTGGTTCATATAGTCAGTGCTAAGGTGCTGTGGACCTAACTTCATCCTCAGAGGCAGATGATTTGCTATAATTAAATTATTCAAAAGAATCTACCCTAGCACCAGAAGACAGTTTTGGGAAAAAAAAAAAAAAAGCTTGAAAACAGTATACAGTTAAATTATATTAGTGCAGAATAATTTGTTCTTGACCTAAAATGTGCCTCTTGGCATGTCCCAGCACCATCATTCAGGATGTGAATGTGTAGGTCTTCATCTCGTTTCCCAAGTGTTTTTCCTTCCCTTTGTTTGCTGTGCCTTCTTATGTCTGTGCTGATGACTTCTTCTCCCACACTTTCTAAAGGCTGGGGTGAGCCCTGGGGGGAGCCTTCTACTCCAGCCACGACGGTGGATAATGGTACTTCAGCCTGGGGTAAGCCCATAGACAGTGGGCCCAGCTGGGGGGAACCCATTACTGCAGCATCCAACACGTCCACATGGGGCGCCAGCTCTGTCGGTCCACAATCATTAAGCAAATCTGGTAAGTCATCTGTGATCTTTAGTAGCCATTTTCTAGTGGTGCTGATGGTGAACTCATGAACTACATTTAAGTGATGGATTGGTCCTCCTAAATTGCCACTAATGTAGATATACTTCCCAAAACTGTAACTACTAATGATTTAAGTAGTCTCCACAACAATCTAAATTCTTTCTCACCTCATTGGATTATTGAAAACTGATGTTAGCAGCTTTCATGCCATTCAACTTCAGAGACTAGATAGTATAACATAAGACACATGTCCAAACCATCAAATCTTACATGAGAAGAACCCTGGGATGCATGTGTATGTTGTTCCTTTACCATGTTGGGCTCAGGACATGTTGTAGGAATCCCAAGGGCTGTGTGTGTGGAGACAGTTGCTTGCTACCTGTGGCTTCAGTACTCTTTGACCAGTCTTGTAGAAAACATACAAAATTGATTATTTTGAGCCTCATGCACCCTCTTCCTTTCGTATCATTTTCAAGATTAAATAGGTACACACAAGAAACCACCATTGCCCATGTTTAGAAACCCTCTGATTTGTGAAGACATGGAAAGTGTCCTTGGATGTTCTAATGAAAATAAGTTCTTTCCAGTGAACTTTCAATGTAGTATAATTACACTTTATCAGTTGCATGAATTTGAGAAGGGGTGTAAAGGTGTGTTTTGTTTAGGTCCATGTCTCTATACTGTGAAATATGCTTGACGTCTTGAAGAACTGTTTAATTTATTAAACTTTGTCTTTGTTTCACAAATCTACAAATCAGGGCCCAAATCTATGCAAGATAGCTGGGGTGGTGATGATATGCCATTGCCTGGAAGTCGCCCCACTGGCTGGGAAGAGGAGGAAGATGTAGAGATTGGAATGTGGAACAGTAACTCATCTCAAGAGCTTAACTCATCTTTAAATTGGCCACCATATACTAAGAAGATGTCGTCAAAGGTATACATTTCAAGAGCTTTGCTCTTGAAACTTTAAATTTCAAAGGTAGTTTACCCACAGAAAATTAATCTATCTGCCCATTTATGGCAGTCAGTACAGTCCAGGCAGCCCCAACTTAGATATAGCCTCTTGAATGGGCAGCTACCTAGACAAACGTAAGATCACGGGAACTTCCTTTCTCCCCACTGCTACAGCTTGGGATTTCTCTCCTCCTCAGCTCCACCAGTACTGCCTGAGGCAACCCCAGGCCCAGGTGGTACCAGCAGTGGTGAGGATGAAGAGAAGGGCAAATCTCCATGTTGACTCTCCATTCCACTGCCAGTTCATCTCCATCTTCCATTTCACCTCCTTACCCAGAGTCCCAACTTTCCCATTACCAAGAGTCACAACTCTCTTTATTCACAGATCATCATTGTCCCTTCCTCATCCCCAAGGTCCTGTGATGAAAATCCCTAGGAGGAAGCCGAGGATTCCCATACCTGGCTTTACAGGAGAAATGGGTTGCATTTGTTCAAGACATAGTCTGCTATACAAGGTCTTCTGAAGTCTTGGAAATTGCACCAGCTTGCCAAATATATCTAATGTAGAGCCAGATTTAGGAACCCCTGGGTCCTCGGGAAGTAGTATTGCGGGGTGGGGGGTTGGAGGTAGATTCTCCTGGGGACATCTTTCAAAATAGGTACCCAGTCTCATGAGTTGACTCTAAAATGTCCTCATCATCCTACCTGAGAATGATTATCTTTTGAGGACCTTGACAAGTCAAATATTTAATGCTTATCTGCTCAAGGCCAAGGTTGTTCCCTTTTAATCCTGGGATTCAAAGTCTAGGACCTGCCATTTTCATTTTATAATTTTTTCATCTGGCTGGATTTGCCTATTGATGCCTGACCATGTAGCTGACAGTGTGCTTATACATGTTTTACATAATCACTTGATCCTCATAACATTTCTGAGATAGGATACTGAGGAAGAATTTGAGACTGGAAACGGTGATGACTTGCCCATAGTTGCATAACTAGTAAGTGATAAAGCAAAGACTTAAGCTTAGGTCTTGCGATTCAAAACCTTGTTCTTCCCACTGGACCATGCTGTTTTATGACTTTGTCTTTCCTTACAGGGTCTGAGTGGCAAAAAAAGGAGAAGGGAAAGGGTGTGTAGCCTTTTTACTCTTTCTCCTTTGTTTCTACTAGTAAAAATCTTTAGAAAGCAACTGCAAACTCTTATTTAGCTTCTGCTGTGTGCCAGGTACTGTGCTTGGTGCTGGGGTTCAAATACACTGAAGAGCAGCCCCGTTAGGGGCTCCTAGTCTTTGGTGGGGCATCAGGTGAGCTTCATGGGCTATCAAGCTCCACACAAATGTGTGCTGGGATGTGGAAGATGCCTGGGGTGGCCTATAGAACGGAATATTTCTAAAGAGTCACAAAGCTGCCTCTAGTTAGAGGAAGGAAGGATAAGTAAAGTGTTGTCCTTACCGTGCCAAAACCCTTGAACTTTAGTGTTTACTAAGCATGGAGCCAGTGAAATTTAGAAGGCAACTTCAGTGGCTTTTTAAACGTATTTAAAGAGAGCTGTCTAATGTTGTGAAATACCAGTTAGAATAGAGGAAAGACCAGAGGTAGGGATCTCAGGAGGCTGCTGCTACGTCATCCCAGGTAGAAAGGAAAACAGTTAGAAATGAATTTAGAAATAGAAGGGGAAATTTCATAATAATAATAATAAAAGGTAGAGAAAAAAAATAGAAGGGGCAGAGATTGGCAGTTGTTCAGACCATGGGAGGAACTCTAAGGGGGAACAGGAATCAAATCAGATATCTTCAGAATATTTGGAGAGGGTTAGGGGCTGGCTTTAGAGATCTGCCTTTGCGGGGAGTTAAGCTATGCTTTGTTTCACAGTCAGAAGGAACAGGTAGTAGCACTGGAAAAAAGACATTAATACACTGAGAAGTTACTTTGGTCATCACATCAATGTGAGGCCTAGGTCTCTGTAGCTTCCAGCCTCCCTCTGTGACTGCTGCCAGTTCTCAGTGTGGTTGCCCAGCCCACCACAGCAGTTCAGCTGCTGGTCAAAATGGTTTTTGTTTTTTGTTTTTTTTTTTTTTTTTAAGCAACAGAATTTGAAATTTTTGAAGTCAATATTATGTGGAAATACTTAGTTGGGGAGGAATGTTGGTTTTTCGCTGAAGTGTTCGTTCATATCATGATTAAATTATGGATTAAATTGGTTTGTTAGGACTAACCTGAGAACCTGTGTACTGTTTTTAATTTGGTATAAGAATTCCAAAAGCTTAAATACATGTCAGGGAGCATGGGCCTTCTGTGAGGCGGGAACATCCCATGGTCCTCCATTGCTGTTGTCTTTTCCTTCTGACTGCCTGCCTTTAGAGATCTCTCTGTACATTACAGCTATACCAGAGGCCTGGAGCAAAGGAAGTTGAAAATCAAATGAGTTTATTTATTTAATTGTTAACAACTCTGTTAAGAGTTGATTGAAGGAGGAAATATTGGCTAAAAATGAGAGTTGGGAATTGTCTTGAAGTTTTATTAGTCCATCACTATGTCCAGATAATTAGAGATTGCCATGGCATCTTTTCTACTCTTTTATTTTACAAAGGGAATGATGAAAGGTGGAAACAAACAAGAAGACGCATGGATAAATCCATTTGTTAAACAGTTTTCAAATATCAGTTTTTCGGTAAGTATGTTTTCTTAGCAGCTGACACCTTCTTTAGTGGTGGTTTGTAATTTATCCCAGTTTTATTTTATTTTCTTAAAAATTATTTCTCATTGTTGTCTTTAAAATATTAGAGTAAAATTAGCCAACAAGCTTTAATTCTTAAATGTTACAAAGTGTGAGCACATCTTAAAATATATTAAACCGTAGTAATATTTTTAAGAATAGGGCCAAAGAGACAGTTGCACAGTTAGGAGTACTTGCTCCTCCTCAGGGGACCAGGGTCCTGTCCCAGCACCCATGGGCAGGGTCCACAACCACACTTACTTCCTCTCCAGGGCATCTGAAGCTCTGTTCTGGCCTCTGCAGGCCCTTGTACACATGTACAAACATACATAAATACAGACACATAAAAAAATTATGATCTGCTTACATTTCAGATGATGAAATACAGAGAAGTTCTTCACTTTTTATTTTCCTTGATAAAGTTTGCTGACATGTTGTTTTTCTTACTTCAGAGAGACTCACCAGAAGAAAATGTACAGAGCAATAAGATGGATCTTTCTGGAGGTGAGAGAAAATTAGATCATTCTGAGTTTTTATCACTGATAAACAAGCCTAGCTGTGTTGTGGTCTTTCTGAAAGAACTCTCATTCAGTGGAAGAGAGCAGCCTTGGCTCCTGACTACAGACTCTGCTGTACTTTGTGAGCATGCTTGAGTAAAGTGAGTTTTGATGTCCCTTTAAGGGACACATCACTGCACATCTCAAGTGGTACTGTGTCAGTCTGTTCCCAGAGTCCCATCAACAGGGGTTAACAAGGTTATTGAGGTGCAGGATTTAATCATCTGGATCCGAGGACTGTGCATATCCAGACTTAGGTATATGACAGAAACATCTCAACCATAGTCAGAAATGCCAAGCACTCGATGACCTAGACAACAACTTTTTTTTTTTTGTAAATTTATTTATTACATATATAGTGTTCTGTCTGTATGTACACCTGCACTCCAGAAGAGCACACCAGATCTCATTATAGATAGTTGTGAGCTATCAGGTGGTTGCCTGGAATTGAACTCAGGACCTTTGGAAGAGCAGCCAGTGCTCTTAAACTCTGAGCCATCTCTCCAGCCCCAGACGAGAACTCTTAAGAGCTGTGGTTGAAGGAGAACCAGGCTAGAGTGGGTGGAGCAGCCCAGTTGAGGTGAAGGTGCTGGATTGCTTGGTGAGGGCTAATGAAAAGTTTGGATATTTTTACTTCATTGAAAAAATAGGGAATTAAAGAGGATTTTGCTTTTATAAATGTGTTTTATTATAGTATTTTCAAATTCTATCAGTTCCTGTTGCTTCTGGGTTCCCCCCCCCTCCCGACTGGTCCATTCTTCAAAAAGTCCCCTCTGCTTTCAACACGCACGTACAAATGCACACACGCCCATAAATACACATGCAGCAGAGAATAAGCCAGAAGATATATATCAGGTGGGAAAACCAGTGAGAGACGTTGTAGTGACTAGTTGGTATTTTCAGAGCTCCAGACTGAAACAGAAAATGGATGACTAGATTAATTTAGTGGAGAGTAGGATTAGGTTCAAGGGAAGTTGATGGTTATTATTATTATTAGTTGGCTATGGAAGGAGCAGGTGATTGTGTGATGAAGTGTGAGTCATCTTTGTCTTCATAGCTTATGAGAGGATAGTACAGTCAGGAGTGAGAGTATTATAAAATAAATAAGGAAAGATGAGCATAAATTAGAAATTATTAATTAACAAAGAGTGAGTGTATCAGTGGGTTGCCTATAATAGGCAGAGAGACTGATGATATACCTTGTATTGAGATCTTGACCTCGTACCAGGTGTTTTATGGTACGACCTGCATATGATTGCATGAGTTTCCTCCCTCAGACAAGAGGGGAAGTGCCACTCACAGGAAAAATGTTATTCCGGAAGCACACTACATTGCTATGTAGTGCCAGATGGCAGATACTGCCTTCTGATGAGGTGAGCCCAGGAGCCTGGGCTACAGGAAAACACGCACGCACGCGCGCGATCGCGTGCGCGCGCGCGCACACACACACACACAAACACACACACACACACACACACACACACACACACACTGAACTGGGGGCCAGGCCTTTCTTCTGATAGTGTCTCTCCTTAACTCCTTACCCACACAGCTTTGGTGCCAACTAGCAAAGATAGCAATAAAGGACAGAAATGCATTTTTTTCCCCTTATAATAATGGTGATTGTAGGAGTGGGTACTGAGCTGCAGTAAATAAAATAGCAATTGCTACTGTTCACCCCAACTCTTGACACCTCAACTTCCATAGGCATTCTACTGTACACTCTTGAAGTTGAGCACAGTGGTGAAATTACTCCATACTCATGCCATAACATCACACAGCAGCTTGTTTACTTGTGAGGAGGATGGGTGGACAACCCCCAAGAGCCAGTTTGTCATTGAGGAAATGATGCTCCAGTTCAGATTAAGTAAGAGTTAACTTTCAGTAACTTTTGAATAAAGCAGAAAGAGAAAGAAAAAGAAAGAAAATGATTGGCCCATACAAATTTAACAACCAGTTGGAAACATGAGACACACTGAGGGTGGTTTCAGGTGGGAATCAGAAGCATTTCAAATATTGAAGTTTTGTTTTTGAGAGCGTTTGCACAGATCACCAGTTAAACGTCTAGAATCTAAAACTTATGCCTTGAGCAACACACACACAGTTTCAGGTCTCAAATTTTCAAGCTGAGGCTACTAAGCCTGTACCTCATTTTTCTCTAGTTGCTCACAGCTCATCATTTGCATTGGTGGTTTCTTCTTGTATATCTTACTCTGTTCTTACCCATTCTTAACTGGAGCTGTTATCTTAAGTTACCTAGTAGGTTCACTTAAACCTATATCAATAGTTCTGCCTGTTTTGTGGTTATAAGTGACTTTATAAGGCAGAGAAGTACTAAGAAGCAACTCAGAATTCCCTGGGTTCTCAGTGAGAGAACATCATTTTCCCTCCTGTTCAGTGCTGTTTGCTCCAGCCCAAAGACTAATTCTGTGCCTGCCTGCCTGCCTGCCTGCTTGCTTATATCATTTGGGGCACAGACTCTCCAGGTGGTTGGCTTTATGATCTGTTTCACTGGGCCCATATTTGTCTTGTTGGAAGCTTTGTCCAGGGCCAGGGTCTAACAGCAGAGTTACTAGAGCAGAAGCAGGGGCTCTGTAAGTGGCCTGGGCATCCCTGAGAGAACCCTACCTCACACCTGTGGTTTCTGATGTACTGAGCCCTACAGACCATGTCCTACAGAACAGAATTTATACCAGAGATTGCTTCCCCCAAACTGGCATTATCACTCAAGTCTTCAATAAGCTTTACCACCTAGATGACAAACAATTTTTATGTGACAGCCTGCGTGGTAGTAACAGGTAATTTCGGCATCCTGAGCCTGTCACCACACCTTTGCCATGAAGGAATTGATGGCCTGACACAGTGCTGTGAGGTACACCATGACAGTTGAGAAGGCGTTTTTCTGAGACTGGCTAGCTGAAGCTTTGTAGAGAAGAAGAGCTCTTACCCAGAAGTGTGTCTGTCCCCATGACGGCAAAACTGCTAGCACAGTGGCTTGCTGAAAGGCAGAGAAGTTGTAATGGCATAGTCATGGGACTTGCTGGGTAATGATACAGATATCCACATTGCTCGCCAAAGACTATTACAGTGCTGTTAGAGGTATGTGAGGAACTGACCACAGGACTTCACTGACCAGTGAGGCGTGAGGAAGCTACCCCTGCTTTAGACCTTCTTAAGCCATGCTGCTCACCCCTCACTACTTTAGGACCAGCTTCTGGCCAAGCCTCCATTCTGGCTGTCTAAAGAAAACGGAGAATATAGACCTAGATAGGTTTACATAAAGCAGCCCAAAAAAGTGAATTTAGAAAGAAGAGACATGAGAGTAGTTGGTCGTCACTACAGTGCTGTCACAGTAGCAGATTTGATAGCAAGACAAGGAGAGTCCAGGTGTCCATCTACCCGGAGTGTAGGAGTGGGTGCTGGTGACTCTTGTTTGGGGACAACTGAGGAAGCTTGTTGCTTGGGATTATTGGTTATCAGGGCAGGGTTTCTAGGTCCTAAAAGGTAGACTATTCCGATACCTGATGTATTTTAAGAAATTAGAGCCATTTTAAAAGGTGTTTCTGTTTAAAGAAAATTTTTCTTTATTGGTATTTTACGGCAATAGATATCTCAGATAGAAAATTTGCAGAGAATTAATGAGTGGGATTCTAAGATTGAGAAAATGTGGAGAATTAAGAGATGAACTCTTCTACAGTAGCTACAGAAGTAGATGAGCTATGACAGTGTTCTGAATATGGGGCTTTGGTATTTGTGTGGGGGGAGTCTCTTGAATGGAGGTGGTAACACTAAAACCTTGGTGGAGAATGAATGACCAGAGACATAATCAAGTGCCCTCCACCATGACTACTGAGTAAACCCAGTGTATACCCAAGTTGAAAGCGGTGGTGGGCTTACTTATGGAGAGGAGAAATGCCAGCCTGACCAGTAGGATGATGAGGATAGAGCACTGTCTGGTTCTCTAAGATTTGTTGAACTCAGTAGGTGGTTAGAGGTTGGCTATGTCCAGGAAAGTTGAGAGAGGTCATATTTATGGCAGAACAGTCAGAATGAGGAGGGTAATGGGCAAAGAATATCTTGTTTGGTTGTTTTTGTTTTGAGACAGGATCTCACTCTGTAGCTGTGGAGATCCTAGAACTGACTATCTTTGAACTGTCAGAGATCTACCTGCCTCTGCTTTCAGAGTGCTGGGATTAAAGGTGTGAGAGAATATTTGGTCTCTCCAGCTGCTTAATAGAGACAATAATAGCAAGTTACAAGCATTTTAGTTAGTGTAACTGAAGCATTTCAGGTGGCACTTGATGCGTAGTAAGCATTTAATAGATGCGTGGTTTTTGTTATCTTGTTACTTGGTAATGGGAATTATTTTTACAATTACAAAATCAACCATATTTGGGATTGGGGAAATGTTCAGTTGTTTAAAGTTCTCGTTTCACAAACATGAGGACTTGTGTTCATTCACAACAACAACAACAACAAAATGCCAGGCATGATGGCATGCACCTGTATTCCCACAGTTGGAGAGGCAGACACAGGATGATTCCTAGAGCTGCCTGGCCAGCCAGTCTAACCTAACTGGTGAGGCCAAAGAAAGACCTCACCAGGAGATGGCCATGTTGCTGAGAGTGACTACATACATGTAAAAGATTAAGTAGATAAGAGGTGATATAAAATGTCTTAGGTTGCTTAAGAAGTTTTAAAATGAGATTGATTGCTGCTTTCTGCTTACCAGTCCCTTTTCAAGCTAATTGGTTCATAAGATAGTATTGTTTATTTAAAATCCAGTATTACCTTTATAAGGGATAGAATTTCTGCAATGGAAATGTTTTTACATGTGCTTGTTGAAGCAGAAATTGTTTCATTTTGGAAAGTGAGCATTTTGCTTTCTACATACAATTTTTTAAATGAAATAAGTTTGTTCTCTTCCTACTGATAATAGTTTCTTGCATTTATTAGGAATGTTACAAGATAAACGAATGGAGATAGATAAACATAGTCTAAATATTGGTGATTACAATCGAACGGTCGGGAAAGGCCCTGGTTCTCGGCCTCAGATTTCCAAAGAGTCTTCCATGGAGCGCAATCCTTATTTTGATAAGGTACAATATTTATAATCTCTGAGAATAATCAACCATACTTGTAATAGCATAATATTTAGGAAAAATGTATTGTAATATAAAAAGTATAGTAAGTGCCTTTCCTATTAATGGAGTTCTAGTTTATTGTTTCATTTATATCTCAGTTTTAGCATAGAGGTTGTGTTTATATTTTCTTCTTGATCCCATAAAATATGTGTTTGGCTCTTTTTATGTGCTCTAGAATTAACACTAATCTGATCTCTTCTGTTTTCTACCTGTTTCCTGTTGGTGCTGGAATGTCATGTGACCTCTCCTCTGTTCCTGAAATGATTTCTCCCTTCTACTTGTTTGCTTGGCTGGTGTTACACATCTTTCTGTCTGTCCAATCAGGATGGCATTGTAGCAGATGAATCCCAAAACATGCAGTTTATGTCCAGTCAAAGCATGAAGCTTCCCCCTTCAAATAGTGCACTACCTAACCAGGCCCTTGGCTCCATAGCAGGGCTGGGTACGCAAAACTTGAATTCTGTTAGACAGGTAAGTGCAGATGCGCATTGTAGGCTTTCTCTTGAATGATCTGTCTTAGTAGTAACGTCTCCTTTGTATGTAGTTGCTGTGTTTAAACAGTAGTATCATACGGTAATAAGTGTCTCTCCCTGAAGAATCACTTGTTATTTTGTTGCTTGTTCTCCAGAATGGCAATCCTAGTATGTTTGGTGTTGGAAACACAGCAGCACAACCCCGGGGCATGCAGCAGCCTCCAGCACAACCTCTCAGTTCATCTCAGCCTAATCTTCGTGCTCAAGTGCCTCCTCCATTACTTTCCCCTCAGGTGAACAAGCTCCCCTTCCTCTCCTCCACTTTCCTGGGAAGAACCTTGAATAAGTTTATGCTTGAGGGCTGGATCTATGGCTCAGCATTAAGAGTCTGGTCTTCCAGAGGACCCAGCTTGATTCTCACCCTCATGGCAGCCATCTGTCTGTAACTCTATTCCTGGGGAATCTGATGCCCTCCCCTGGTCTGTTTGGGATTCAAGAGTGCATATGATTCACCGATACCATGCAAGCAAAGCATCCATACACATAAAAATAAGTTAAAATTTATGTTTGAAGTGACCACTGAGCATCGTAATAATTATTGACATCTCTGAGGTGCAGCAAGTGCTGAGTAGCTGTTGTTGCAAAAGTGTGAGCGAAGGAAAATTAACTTAAAAGTTACTTAAATCTAAAATTATCATTTTCTTCATAAAACATCTTAGGAAAGCAACAGCAAAATAAAATATGGTCAGGATTTGCCATTGTCATTTTTACTTACCATGAGGAAGATATGTGTGAACTATGTCTTAGTGAGGGGAGCACTTTGAATGACTAACTGCTCATGGGACAGCCCCCACTCTAACTGCCCTGCTGGTAATCAGACTGCACAGTGCACTTAGGCTGGGTATTACAGCAACATTATTAACTTGCCATTGTGATCCTAAGGTTCCAGTTTCATTGCTGAAGTATGCACCAAACAACGGTGGCCTGAATCCGCTCTTTGGCCCTCAACAGGTAGCCATGCTGAACCAGCTATCCCAACTAAACCAGCTTTCTCAGATCTCCCAGTTACAGGTAAATTCTTATTGTGTGTTCGGTATGCAGTTGGGATTCTGCATCAGGCACTGCAGTAAACAGAGTCAGCACATTTCTAACCTGCATAGAGCAGACCGCCTGTCAGAAAAGGTGAACAGTGAACCTGCATGAAGTTCAGGGTCTTTTCAGGGGAGATCCAGGAAGGGAATATAGGAAGGAAACATGATTAGACAAAACACGGAAACAAAAACAATAGAAAATCTGTTAAAGTGAAAGCTGGGGTTGGGGATGTTTCATTGGTAGTTTAACATACACTAAGCCCTTGGCTCTGTCTGCAGTACTGCAAAAGTTAACTTGAATTAAAAAGTGGGTTTTTGCAGAATTTCTGAAAACTGGACACGTATTCCAGGAAGGGGTGTTGCATATGAGGTGGGACTTGGGTCTGCAGCCTAGTTCTGCAGGTCTGCTGACCATAGCTACCTGTAAGCATTCCAGTCGTAGCAGCTGAGCAGTGACAGCCCTTGTGTATCCTTTTCCAGCGATTGTTAGCGCAGCAGCAGAGGGCGCAGAGTCAGAGAAGCGTGCCTCCTGCTAACCGGCAGCAGCAAGACCAGCAGGTACGGAGACCCTCTCCACTTGCTCATGAAAGAATCGTACTAAAAACTAATACAGTGAGCCTTTAGTCTGTTGTTTGTTCAGAAGTCTGTAGAACTGTAGAACTTTGATTGGTGGCCTTCCTCCTGAGAAGGAGTTGAATTCAGAAATGAAGAATGTCTACCTGTAAAGATACACCTACACAGTTTTCCTGCATCATTTTGTTGTTTGCAGGGTCGACCTCTTAGTGTGCAGCAGCAGATGATGCAACAGTCTCGTCAACTTGATCCAAGCCTGCTGGTGAAGCAGCAGACTCCGCCTTCTCAGCAGCCGCTCCATCAGCCAGCCATGAAGTCCTTCCTTGACAATGTTATGCCCCACACTACACCCGAGCTGCAGAAAGGGCCATCGCCAGTAAATGCTTTCAGCAACTTTCCTATAGGTGAGTTCCTGCTTGGCCACGACAGGCATGCGCCTCCACTGCCTCTGTAGTCCTGTCCTTCAGCACAGCACTGGCCCCAGATGCCACTTACTGGAGAATAACCTGCTTTCTTCTACATTAAGCTCATCTTCATGGGGTGGTGTCACAGGATTTAAGAATGTTCTACCTATTGAAAGAGACAGATTAAAGGGCACACTCATTTTCTGATCCAGACTATAGGATGAGCAGGGGCAGGAAGACTCATGACAGTGTTGTTAAGAAGAGAGGTGGTAAGCAGATGTTGCTCTGTGGGAAATACTGGGAATAGTCTCCATTATGTTGTCACTTGTGTTACAAAAACAAGAATGAGGAAGAATTGTCTTTGGTTTTGTCTTGTATATCACCAGGCTTTTATTCACTGAGGAAACTCAAGGCTTGTATGTTTTCTCTTTCCTAGGTTCCTGATTGATTTTTGGTTAAGCATATACCTCTTTCATTTTTTAAACTATCCCCTACCTGAGCAATCATTTCATGTAAATGAGCCATGTGGTTACTACCCGAGTCTTCTTGAAGACCATTAGTTCTCAAAGCATATTCTGGGCTGTAGATAGCATTTGGGGTATGTGTTCCTGCTGGCGATTCTCTGTGACTGAGAGGTTTTGGATTTGGAGTCATAATAGACTCTCAGCTAGGATGTGAGTTCTTTGAGATTGTTAGCTGAAACAAGTTTCCAGATCAGTTTGCACTGTGTCTAAATACTACAGAAGCCACTGATGATAAAGGGGAGTGATTCCACTTGGTAGATACAGAGCTGTGGAGAGGAAGCTCTTAATAGAGGGCTTCTCCTGGTGGCCTTTCCATTCTGCTTCATCCACACAGACACCAAACTAGAGCCTGTGAGCAAAATTTAATCTACTGTCTGATTTCACGAAAAGAGTTTTAGGGGGCGGGGGCTGGAGAGATAGCTCAGTGGTTAAGAGCACTAGCTGCTCTTCCAGAGGTCCTGAGTTCAATTCCCAGCAACCACATGATCGCTCACAACTATCTATGAGATCTGGTGCTTGCTTCTGGCCTGCGGCACGCCTGCAAACAAAAGACTGTATAAATAATAAAATTAAATCCCCCCCCAAAAAGAAAGAAAGAAAGAAAGAAATAGAATATTAAAAAACATTAAAGAAAAGCATTTTTTTGGAACAGAGCTATTATTTCTTTAACATTATCTGTGAGTGCTTTAGCATAGCGACAGGGAAGGCTGTATAGCCCAAACATTCTCTAAGCTACCTTTTGAACCTTTATACAAAATATTTGCAAATTTTTGGTCTAATTGATAGGTCTAAGAGCACAAATTTGATTTCTTTCTGCAAAAATGGAATTGGGAATGACTTCAGAGAATTCATACTGCACGCCTAGTACCAGAATTTAAAACCATTGAGGCTGAGACTTAAAAATAAGAACTTCTTGGGACTGTGTTCCAACTGTTTCATGACAAGCATTTGGCAGCAGTATATAAAACCGAATCATCCATCCTTAGTTCAAAGTCCAAGAGAATGTCTGAGTACATCCTGCTCTGTCAGCAAAAACTTAAATTGTGCCTTTAGATATGGGTGTCTCTCTCTCTCTCAGGTTGGAGTTAGGAATTGTACTTTTAAATAGCATCCTTTAGCCAGTCAGACATCAGGAAATTTATCAGTTTGCAATCAAGAAGTGACAATTGAGAATGATCGTATATTATACATGGCACTGGTAAAATGGTTAAACTTGGGCTACAGTTAAAAACTTTACATGGTCCCCTTAAAATTTTTTTTTCTCCTATTTTGTGAAGTTTTTAAATGATCAAGATATGGAGGAGTAGATTTCCACCTGTGGTAGCACGAGCCTTTGTGGTTTGAAAATGCAGTACTATGAGCATTTAGCATAGCTACCAAGCCACCTGTGATCTGACTGCACGTTTGCAGGGTGTTATTTGTTGAGGGACATTAGGCAGCATTGAAAACAGTAGCTGCATATGATTATTAGAAGGTGAATGTTTGGAAGTGGAAGGAAAATGTGCTGGTTTATAAGGTTTAAATTTTATTTTTAAGGCTTGAACTCAAACTTGAATGTAAATATGGATATGAACAGTATTAAAGAGCCACAGTCAAGACTAAGGAAGTGGACTACAGTGGACAGCATTTCTGTGAACACATCTTTGGATCAAAACTCCAGCAAACATGGTATCATAGTCTTAAACTTCTCTTGAAAAAAAAAAAATTGTGGGGTGGGTGTGGAGGTAAGATTACGTAGTGGTTGAGTATGCCTGCCACCAAGCTGGACAACCAGAGTTGAGTGTCGAAGAGAGACAGACCAGACATGCTAGGAAGAGAGAGCCAGCTCCACCAACTTGTCCACTGACTTTCTTTCACGCACGCGCACATGCACACGCGCACACACACACACACACACACACACAGACACACACAATTTAAAAAACTAAACAAGGGCTGAAGATATGGCTGAGGAGTTAAGAGCACTTGATTCTCATTCAGAGGACCTAGATTCATTTCCCCACACCCACATGGCACCTCAGAATTCAGCTGTAACTCCAGTTCCAGGGAATCTGACACTCTATTCTGATCACCACAGGTACCAGGCATGCTGGTGGTACACATTTATAGAGGCACTCATACACATAAAGTAAAATAAATAAACAAAATAACAAATAAGTACGTAAACCTGAATGAAACTAAATTTTGGCTTTTATCATCTTTTGTGTATACATTCCAAAGTCAAATTAGTCTTAGACCTTTTCCTTACTGCAAAAATTTGCCTTGGGTAAGCCAAACAGCCCACTTATTCCTAATGTTTTGTAAAGCTAGGCAGGCATTGTGGCACACGCATGTAATCCCGGGTAGAGATAGGCTCAGTCTGCAGTCATCCTCAGCTGTGTAATAAGCTTAAGGTAGCCCAGCCCTGCTATGTGTGCATCCTTGCTTTAAAAAAGCAAACAAACAAACAAACAACACAAAACCACAAGTCTTATTGAAGAGACCTTCACGCAGAAAGCAAATTGGCTTTAATTGTGTTATGTTAAAGAGGACACAGGAGCAATCTGCGTGTGTGTGACATAGATGCATTATCTTTTAGACATCTATTCTTTGAGAATTTTGCATGATGTGTGTGTGCGTGTTTGTGTTTAAAACAAACAAGAGCACCAACTATGGAGGCCAGTTGGTGTTGGCAAGAGTATTCCTCAGCCTGGGGCCTGCCCTGGAGTGGTGTACGCACCACAGTCACTCTATTGAAGAAGACTGACGTTCCCTCTCCCGGCAGCAGCCAGTGCCGGCAGCTCCTCTGCTGGGGGTGAGCCTGGGAATTCATATATGCCTCTGTCCTGTTGTGTCTAGAAAATACCATTTCCTGGCGCATAACAGTCTTTCTACCCCTTTTGCATATATCCCTGAGTTTTGCGAGGAAGGATATGATGCAGAGATCCACTTAGGTCTGCCTGGGGATTCAGGCTCTGCACATTAAGCAGTTATGGGTCCCTATGTTAATCACCAGCTACTGCAAGAAGCTACTGTACTAAGGGTTGGGCAGTACACTGATCTGTGGGTATAGCAGTATGTCATTGGGATGACAGACGTTGGCTTGATTATTATTTTTTTAAACAAACCTACTTTATTTGGGGTTATTAAATGCTTCTACCTCCCTGCCAACCCCCCAACACCGGGTAGGAGAGAAAGAAGGTAGGTGGAGACTAGGGACAGAATTTTCTCTGCTATTTCCCACTGGGTAGGGTCATAGGATTCTGATGGCAATACCAGTATCAGTTTTCCAGAAATTCAGAAATCCGGATGAACCAGCAGCAAGCAGTCCTCCTCTATGCAGCCATGCCTTCTTCCTCTAGGCTGTCATATTTACACCTTTCAAAGTTCTCAGAGTTCAACTTAATTCCACCTGGCAAAGACCATGCTCTGCACAAGACACTTAAGAGGCACTTAAAATCCCCAACTTGGAATTTTAACAAAAACATGTTTACATATCACAAACCAAAACATTAACAATAGACATATTACACAGATGAGTAAGTTCTTGTGGACACAGTTGAATTTGTGTATTACAGATGTTTCTGTACACACTTGCCCTGGAGAAGCTCATTTGTTGGCAGAAGTGAACATGTGGGCACCCATGGTGTACAGTATAATAAGTACTCTTAAGTGGTAGCACATGGAGTTGTTCGAAGTCTGAGAGAGTGCTCTATAGGAATGCCTGGCTCTACGGAGTCTGAAGAGGCTGTATGAAAGGACTCAACCCAAAGACTTAAACTTACCAATCACTCAACTGTAGGAAGACCAGCTAAAAGAGAATGGCTTGATCTGATCTGAGCCAGAAGCAGGTGGAATAGTAGATACAGGTAAAACTTAGGCCATAAAGAGGTGGCACTGTTGACACAGTGCAAGTAGTCAGGAGTAATTTTCTACTTGGAAGAGGAGCCCAATTTACTTCCTAGCAGCAGTGTTAGACAGCTCACAGTTGGCTTCACCTCCAGCCCCAGGTAATCACATGCTCTTTCTGCCTTCCAAGAACGAATGAACACACACACACACCACAAAGTTTGTAGACTTTTATAAAAAAAGAATTAGTAGAGAAGTAGAGATAGAGCTCTGCATTTGGGAGAAGGGTTCTGTCTTCGTCAGAATGAATTGATAAGCAGAGAGCCACAGAGAGAGGAAACAGCAGGGATCCTAGAGTCACTATGGTTTTTTCTACCCAGTCTTCATGTGATGTGTCAAAATCCATGGATGCTGTCGGAAAGCTCAGAGGGCTCTTTTTTTCTTGTACCTTCACATAACGTACTAGATAGTTTGAGACCTACATCCTTGTTGAGGTTTACTACATTTAAGAAACTAAGAAGTGACTGTGGTGTGTGGCTTGCTTATATTTTGCCATCATACCTTTTTCTCTTTGTAGGTGCTATTTCAAGTGGTTTTAGGCTGGAAGACTCTCCATTTGTTCCCTATGACTTTATGAATAGCAGTACTTCACCAGCCAGTCCTCCAGGTTCAATAGGAGATGGCTGGCCACGTGCCAAATCGCCTAACGGCTCTAGCAGTGTTAACTGGCCACCAGGTAAGATGCTCACAGCCTTTCCATGATGTCTGGTCTCATCAGTGGCTTAACCTGGTTCTGTAATCAGAAGCGTAATCAGACATGGTGCAGTGAACGGGTGAGCGTGAGGTTGGATCATTAGCTGCATGCCCCAGCTCCTCTGCTCCAAGCAGTGATGAGGGGTGAGCCCACTGACCTTGTGAGGAGTGAGATATGCTTGACACTGAGGATCACCAGAGGTGCATCTCGGGCCTGCTTGAGTTGCCGTGAAATACAAACTCGGAAATTATTTCAGTTGTATACGTAAGCAAGTTAGGATTGTGTTACTAGCATGGCCTTTTAGCATGTTGTCACACAGAATTTAGAAATGACTGTTTGGAATTTAGTTTGAATTTTAAAGCCATTCACTAATTTTTAATTTCTGTTTGCAGAATTTCGCCCTGGTGAACCATGGAAAGGTTATCCAAACATTGACCCTGAAACTGACCCTTACGTCACTCCTGGCAGTGTCATAAACAGTCTTTCAATTAATACTGTGCGGGAAGTTGACCACCTCAGGGACAGGAACAGTGGTACGTAGAGGCATGAATCCGTGTGGGATAATCACAGCTCAGGATGGCTGGGGAAACTTTGAGCAGTGCTCCTGCGCTTCCTCACATCACAGGCGTTGGGACATGAGAACACATTAACTGCAGCCACTTTTAAGATAATGAGGAATTGTGGCTTGAACAAGTGAACAGCAAGGACGTTCCAGCACTCACTTTCCAATAGTGCAGTCAGCGACTGCCAGTTGCATAGTTAATTTATACTTGGAATGTTGACCTGCTTTCCTCAGGAGAAACAGCCTGGGATTTCAAGGCTTCAAACAGTGAGACTCATATGTATTTTCTAAAGGGCTGTCAGGTGAAACCCTGTGAGTCCCATGGGGCTGTTTTTCACCTTAGGCGTATGTGAGTATTCTGTCCATTATTTTTTCCTAAAAGTAAGATTAGTGACTTACTGAAATACTAAAATAGTTGAATTTTTCCTGTAAAATATAATCTGCTTTCTATCCCTTTTATTAATTACAAAGAAAATGTAAAAGAGCGAGCAGTTTTTACTGATAAAAAGTTTATTAAGGTAGCAGTGTCTGTCATATTGTAGTACTAAGTTAACAATCCTGTCATTCTGAAATGGCAGAATCTACCGCACAGCTGTGTAGAGGTTGTGAGAGCCAGTGCAACAGAAGATAGTGAAGCACAAGGCCAGGATAAAGGGAGTACAGAAGAATTGGTTGGTTATAGAAACTGCTTATTTGTGGGTAGGATGTTCTGAAAGTTAAAGGATTAGATTTGATATTAAGGGAAGAGCCACCACTAACATTTTTGACTGGAAGGTTCAGTGTATTAAAATGGGATGCAGAGTGAACTGTATTGGGGGTTAGTGAGGAGACTGTCCTAGTGACTAGGCGATGGTCAGGTCTAGAGCTAAACTAAAAGAAGACATCATGTTAGAGAGCCCCATGTAGAAGGCTGAAGGCCTGGCTTTTGGGTAGTGCCTGTAATAGGGTGCCTTCGTGACCTGTCTTGCCAATAGGAAGTCATTGCAGTTCAAGAATCAGGGGCTAGGACAGCAAGAACAGCCTCTTTGGTGCCCAGTGCTGGAGGCAGAGCCTGGGTCATCTAGGCATTGCACATTCTTGGGGAGCAAGAAGGAAATGGCTGTTCTGAGCCAGGGCAGAAACAATGAGCAAGAAGGAAGCTGCTGTCTTCCGCTCCATCTTTAATCCAAGTGTTCCTGCCTCCTATCTTGGGGCATGCTGTGACCCTGCAGCTTACTTCCCAGGCGCCATGCCCTGCTCTTGTAGCTAACTGGACTCTTCTGCAGGGTCATCCTCATCCTTGAACACCACGCTGCCTTCAACTAGTGCCTGGTCATCCATTCGTGCCTCCAACTACAATGTTCCCCTCAGCAGTACAGCACAAAGCACTTCAGGTGGGCCCTCTCGTAGCAGCTTGGCTGTTGCTTTTTCTTGACTGTCTTTTCAGGTAGTTGGGAAGTGTCTGAGATGCGAGAGAAGTATTCTCCTTTTTTAATTTGCTGTTCTGCAGGCATCTAAAACAGTCTACATTCTGTCATCTAAGTCACAGCCCTGTGATAAAGTACAGTTTAAGTTAAAGCATTCTGAAAGCCATTGTGTTTGTTTATTCATTTTCAGTCCTTCACAGCTGATAGTTCTGTAAAATGCAGGAAGTAGGAATTTGGAGGCAGTACCAGAATGAGTGTGCCCTGGAGAGTTAGGCCTCTGCAGTGAGCTAGATGGCTGTGGCACTGGGGTTTGCAGCATACATATGCTGCAGTTCAGGTAAACTATGCTGTGGCCATGCTTTCTGTAGCCACACTTGGAGGTGTCTTGGCCTAATGGCCATGTGCTTTGTAATAACTCAGGTCTGAATGTTCAGGAGTTGCTGAAGAATTGCCCAGTCCTTTCTCTGCCCTGTCTTTTACTACCACTGTGTCTGACACAGTTGCCTCTCTGTCCTGTTACTATACACCCACCCCATTAGCACTGCTTTGACCCAGCAGGAGTGGGGCAAGAATTGATCACCTGTTCTCATTTTGTTTGTTTTTAAGCTGGAAAAGGCCTGCATTTGCACTCTAGTTGTGTAAACCACGTACCTTTCTGATCTTGTGTTACCACAATGGGGACAGTAAGAGCAGTGCCTGGGAGCCTGGCATTTGGCAGCCAGCCAGTGAACATGTGCCACACTACCTTGCTGACTTGGGATGACTGTTAGAGATTTTTCTCCCGCGTGTAATTGACAAGCGTAAAATATATCTCTGACCTTGTGGCTCTTTCGAGTGGCCCAGTTGGCCTGGAATCCACACGTGTATTTTACAATCTGTGTTGTGATTTCAGGGAGAAGTTCTGTGCTTGCACAGTCTGGAGACAGTAACAGATGAGGGCACAGGTCTTGAGGGAAGAGTCGTTGCCTTTGAGCTTTTTGTTTTTCTCCTTTAGGCCATTAGCTGCATTTAGGGTTTTTTGTTAACTTTTATTTGACTTGTTTTTCATTGGACAGTGGATGTTACTAGGTGAATTTTCTCTTTTTTTAATATCTCAACTTCAGTTTTTCTTATTCTTTCCCCTTTCTCCTTTGAGTAGCCAGAAATAGTGATTCCAAATTGACGTGGTCTCCTGGTTCAGTTACAAACACCTCTCTGGCTCATGAGCTGTGGAAAGTCCCTTTGCCACCTAAAAACATCACTGCTCCGTCCCGCCCACCTCCAGGGCTGACTGGTCAGAAGCCACCCTTGTCTACGTGGGATAATTCTCCCCTTCGTGTTGGTGGAGGATGGGGAAATTCTGATGCCAGATACACCCCAGGTAGGACACAGTAGCTATGGTGTTTGATTATGGGCTTGTTGAATATTGATTATTACCAGCTATCCAGTTTACCATGGACCGATACCATTAGCTGTGGGATTACACTCTGTAAAGGTAGAATGAGTGTGAACATTCACACTCCTAATTCATCGCTACCTTTTACAAGGGTTCTTGACTAGTTTCCTAAAGAATGTTTACCCAAACCTATCTGGTGGTTCATGCCTGAAATCCTACCACAAGGGGAGTAAGGGCAGGGACTTTCAGTATAAGGAAGTCAGTAGCACTTGTACAAGATCCCTGACTAAATAAGTAAGAATGCTCACCCAAAGATACCTCAATCAATAGTAATGCTAGTGCGCTGGTGATGTTTCAGAAGTTCCTTGGGAATGCATCTTCAAAGGACTGTTGGTTTCCTACTCATGGCAGGCTTGCTGAGAAAGACTGCCATATAGAACACGAAGCTAGAGAGAGTTGATGGAGGACAATCCAACTGAGCCTTGGAAAGTGGGCTTGTTTGGGTAATAGCTTGGCCTATCCCAAGAATGACCATGAAGTTAACTGTTTAAGCAGACATTTGAGAGTGGAAGTGGTGCTGTTGCTCCTTAAGGTCAAGCAGATCTAGGCCTACAGTGATATCATTATGAAATACCTGTAAGTAGTCATGGGGAACAAACAGGTGGTTCTTAATTGTGTTTAATTAAAAGTTTCTTTGCTAGAGGGAAACTGGTTGCCATGGGGCCATGCAGGATGGCTAGATGTGGAACTCATGTGGTAACCCAGACAAAATCAAAGGATGTCTGGGTGATGCCAAACAGTTCAGTCCCCTTAAAGCTTCATATCTTAGGGGTATATTCAGAGAGGTGGAAGTATTTTGTCATAAATGAAAAGGTGTTAGAGAGTCAGAGTGTTGTGGCTTGCCTGCCTTCCCAAGTAGAGCCACCTGCAGTAGAGGTCAGTGTCTGGTCCAGGCTGAAGTGCGCGGATGTCACAGGTCTGTTTGTTACACTAGGGAAAGGTAGAGAAAAGAGAAGGAAGCAGAGATTCCTGACGACTGGAATTAACTGTCATTTGATTGGCTGTGTTTGTCTTAAACGGTCATTCAAGCCACAGGTGTAGAATACTGACTGTCTTTTTTTCCTTGTCTAGGTTCCAGCTGGGGTGAGAGCAGCTCAGGGAGAATAACGAATTGGCTTGTTTTGAAAAACCTCACACCTCAGGTAAGGAGGTGCCTACTTAGTATATGTGCTGGGCCAGGGAGCATGAAGACACTTTGCTCTTTCAGAACAGGGCCTGTCAGTGGCCATTAAGGCTGGGCAGAGCATGGCACTCCCATTGCCTCTCGTCTGATCTAGTGGTTCTCATGCTGTTATATTTAGGGCAGCCACAATAAGGCAAATAGCTACATCTCACTCAGTGCTGAGTGGTGCTAGGCTGGGGGTTTGCAGGCATGTGTGTGAGATTGTATTGTACCTCCAGAAACCTTGGCCTGCCCTGTTGTTGTTTTTCAAGACAGGGTTTCTCTGTGTAGCCTTAGCTGTTCTGGGCTCTCTTTGTAGACCAGGCTGGCCTTGAACTCAGAGATCAGCCTGCCTCTGCCTTCTGGAATACTGGGATTACAGGCGTGTACCACCGTGCCTGGCTCATTCTGCCCTTTTATATCTGGGACATTTTCTTAGCCTCTGGGCTACTCTCCCACTCCTAGGGAGCAGTGCCTTGAGGTCCTGTCCTGGAGTGGGGGAGGAAAGGACGTAAAACCACATCTGGGGTGAAAGCTCATCACATCGCTCTAGGCCCAGTGGACATAAGGAAGGGACACTGAAACTGGCATGAGAAGGACCAGCGGTACCTCCTAGTGGCACTTACAATAGCCACTAACTGCAGCCTGCTTTGTCTAGATCGATGGCTCAACTCTGCGCACCCTGTGCATGCAGCATGGCCCACTGATTACATTCCATCTGAACCTCCCACATGGAAATGCTCTGGTCCGTTACAGTTCAAAAGAAGAGGTAGTGAAGGCACAAAAGTCTCTGCACATGTGAGTTGCCCAAGACTTCTGGTGGGGAGGGTCTGGAGGAGCTGTGGGTAGGTCAGCCTAGCCCAGGACCCCTCTAGACCTGGTCAGCATGGCCCTGGACAGACTGAGGTGGAGAGAGCACGGGAGCCCAGTCCAGGAAACATAATAAGACCTTAGAGCTAAAGTAAAACCAAAATCTCAAGGACGTAGAGAACCCCTTGCATTGCCTATAACGAGACAGACCTGGTCTGGATAGCCCATGACCCTCTCTGAGACACTCGTTCTGGACATGGGGCAGGCCAGGCTCCTTCTGCTCCTCCTCGGTTTCCTCTCAGCAGGTCCCCCTGATAGTTGAGCTTGTAAAACCATACAGCCAGAAGGCCTCATGTTATGCCCTCTCCTCTAGGTGTGTGCTGGGGAACACTACTATTCTCGCTGAGTTTGCCAGTGAAGAGGAGATCAGTCGCTTCTTTGCACAAAGTCAGTCTCTGACCCCTTCTCCTGGCTGGCAGTCTCTCGGGTCCAGCCAGAGCCGGCTGGGCTCCCTCGACTGTTCCCACTCATTCTCCAGCCGGACCGATCTCAATCACTGGAATGGTGCTGGGCTGTCGGGAACTAACTGTGGAGACCTTCACGGCACTTCCCTCTGGGGGACCCCACATTATTCCACAAGCCTGTGGGGTCCCCCAAGCAGCAGCGACCCCCGGGGAATTAGCAGCCCATCCCCCATCAATGCTTTTCTTTCTGTTGACCACCTGGGTGGGGGTGGAGAGTCCATGTAATCGCATAGGTATAGACATAAACTGTGACCTCAAGATGAGAAGGAAAGGAGCACTAAGTTGGGCTCGCCACCTGCAGCCAGGGCCACCTGTGGGAACAGCTATTTTCTGCACATTTTCCACTTTGTTTTCCCCAAAACATATCAGTTTGAATACTTGAATCATGCAGGCCAACATTATAATGTGAAAGGGTATCTATCTATTTACACTCCCAAATAGCGCCATACAGCTAACCGTGTGGAATGAGCTCACTTGTGTATTCATCATGTTTAGCCTTCGGATTCCTTCTTTCCTTCGTTTCCATCCCTCATCCCCACCACATTTTATTTTTATTTGTTTTTGGGTTGGGGGGGTGTTTTTTTTTCTTTTTTCTTTTTTCTTTTTTTCTTTTCTTTTTTTTTTCTTTTTTTTTGCAAAACCGTTTTTGGGCTGATGTATGAGCTTTTACCTTTGCACTGAGTGATGTTCTCTCCGTCTAATCGGCAGTATGGGGGGGCAGCTGTTCCAGTGTAAATGTTTACTCAAGGATGTTCTTAAAGGCGTGCGCTCTCTACTATGCCTCATGTTGCCTACCTTATTGTGGTATCGTGGAGTTTAAAAGATCAAGTTAAGATACTGACGTAGGACTCTTAATGAAAGTATTGCACCAGTTTTTTCATGTTATAAAACTAAAGAATTTCGCTCTACAGTTTGAGAAACTGTGGCCACCGCTGTGACCTGCAGCCCGCCTGCTGCCCAGGACGGGCCCTGCACTTTGAACAGGCTTTCCATGTTGTTTTGAAGGTTCTCACGATGAACCTTCTTGTTTACAGATTTTTTTGTTTGTTTTTTGAGAAAAAAAATGTTTACTCTTCCATCATTTAAAAAAAATTTAAAAGACAAAAAAAAAAAAAAAAGAGGAGGGTGGTTTAAAAGACGCTTTCTATCTCTGGGAAAAAGAGCAGCATTTGGCCATGTTCTTCTGTTTTCTATTCCTGTCCTAAATCAAAGAGCATGGTTCTCAGGAAACCAGTTCCCCAGTCAAAAAAATCTTGTAGTTTCTTATAGGAAAAAAGAAAATCCCAACTTTTAGCACTGATACTACGTATTGCTCTGTTCAAGATTTTTCTCTGCCAAAAAAAAAGAAAAAAAAAAAAAAAGAAAAAGAAAAAATCGCTTCGAGCTGGAGTTGCCATCTGCTTTCAGATGCTGTCCTTCATTAGTGAGTGATGATGGTTGCTAATAATTGCTAGGTAACTTCTGTAACCCGTCAGTGGCTCTCATGTCCCTGCTCTCTTGTGACCGTGTTCATGTTTAACTGTTATACCTTAAGGCCGAGATCAGTAACTATGCATACTGTAACCAAGACATTGGGCTTACAGAGTTGTTTGTTGTATAAAAAATTTTAAATGTTGTTGCAAACTAACGAGTTACACCATTTTAAAATTTCTTTCCGCCCTAGCCCCTGTTATTTTGCCCACAAATGGTATTATAATGCTTGCTTAGTCAAAGAAGAGAGACTAAACAAGGGTAAACTTTTAACAGTACAGAATATGCCATCATTTCATTGCCTTGATTCTAACTGTTTGTGTCCTAAGATGCAAAAGAGGTCAGTGGCTTTTAACTGTTTACAAATAGGATGTGATTGTAAATGTACAGTTTGGTTGTGTTTGAATTATGAAATCTTCAGATAATAAACCATGACTTTTTTGGCTGCTCAACATTAATTGTCTTTTTTGTGAATTTATTTGTAGGCTCTTTTATAATGAAAGTTACAAAGTTGCTGCACATGAGGGTTCTTCTCATAGAGCAGCAGATTAAAAATCTAAGCAAATATTTGAACATTTTACCTGAACTTCTCCACAATCACCCTGAGATAATGTGAGAACAGTGGAAACTGTAGCTTGCTCCCTCCTCCCCTGAGCATCTTTGGGATCTTGCTCAAAGCTCTTCTCTGGCTTCACCTTCCCCACCATCTGTGCCCATCTCAAGCCTCAGCGGGACCATTCGGAACATGAAGCTTAATGACTTGACAGCATCCTAGTGTTAACCTCTCATACCTCTCACACAGTGGGGATGCCACCGCCCGAACTGGCCTTTCTTCCCCGTGCCCTTCGCCCCTCCTCACTGCGGGAGCTTTGGGGCAGAACCTGTGTCTGTGTTCCAGTGTATGACTTCAAATCACGCTCCAGCTTGCCAGGAGTAAGCTAATGTCGGACACCATAACCTAAGCAAATGTTCAATGCATTCGGTGTGTACTGATGTCCACACTGGTTTTTCCAAAAACCAAAGGTAACTTTGAAAAACCATGTGTGGAGATGTTTGGAACGTTAAGCTGAGCGACCGCTGGGGGCTTTGAGTAGTGTATAACTGACTTCATGACTTCGTTAATTGTATTGTTAAAAGTGTTTGGGAGTTTTTTGCGCTTGTTATGTGGAAATAAAGTGTTTGATTTTAAAGAAAAAATTAAGTGGTTTTGATATTTACCTTATTCTTAATAACTGCTCTATTCCCTTGTCACTCTTGAGTCATTCTGAATCGCTCGCCATTACCACCGCCTCGTTTTTGGCCGTCACTTCCCACAGGCCTGTGACAGCTGCTCCTGGCCTTTGGGAATCAGCCTAAACTGAGGCAGTGGCTCAGTGTGTTCTCAATTCTGCCATGAGCTGCCCTGCTCTTCCTCCCCATCAGGCCTTCATGAACGTCCTCTTAGTCAAGGCTGCTTCCCCTGTGTGTTGGGTCTGTCCCCGGCAAAGCTGGCCCCTCCCACCTCTTGCCGAACAGACTTTAACCGCTGATGATTGTGCAGATACCAGATCAGACCTCCGAGATTCCAGTGAGCTCACCTGCCACCTCCCTTATCGTATGTCTTACTGTTTACATTGAAAGGCAACAGAAGCGGAAATGGGACCTCAGTGAGTCAGGCCTCGTGTAGGTGTGTAGCGTGAAGATGGGTGTGTACGCATCTGAGGGCAGGTAGAGGTGGTGCTGAGCAAGCCTGGCACCATGGAGCTGCTTGTCCTTCAGCTTTGGGTGTTACAGAGGCCGCTTCTTAGAGCTGGAGCCCCAGTTAACCTGAGAGCGCCTGATGTAACTCAGATTTGGGCCCCACAGGACTCTGATAGCATTTGCAAGAGTCACTGGGAGGGAGAGTCGCTGCATGCGAGACTCCATGTAGAGTACTGTGTGCACACGCCTTCGTTCCTAAGTGCACCTACCTAGTCTGGAAAGGGCTCTGTAGAGCTGTGTGCCTCAGATTCTCCCCAGTCAGAGGAAGAGTGCCACTTCTTAAGACTCCACTCCTTAATGTCCATGTGTGGCGCACACCCCTGCTTGTGCATAGATGCCAGAGGAAAACACTGGCTGTGTTTGTCCATCGCGCTAAACTCCATCCTCATGAGGCACAGTCTCGGGGAAGCTACGTGGGCACCAGGCAACTGGCCTCAAGTCCTCATGAGTTCATAGCATGCACTTCGCCCCTTTACCCCTAAGCCATCTACCCAGCCCCCAGTTGTTAAGCATGAAGTTCAGCTGCCTGCAGATGTTGCGTTCTGCTGCTGTTTTCATCTAAAACTACCGCTTTAATCAGGCAGTTCCGTTGCCTTTTTTTCAAAAGTCCCTGAGGACACTGCGTGCATCTTTAAGGCCTCAGTTTTAAGAAGCGGATTGTGGTGGCGAACACCTTTGGTCCCAGCACTCAGGACACACAGGCAGGTGGCTCTCTTGAACTGAGGCCAGCCAGGTCTATAGAGCAAGTTTTAGGACAGCCAAGAAAAACCCTGTCAAAAACAGACAAACAAAAAACTGACATGAAAGATTGCAGGAAGGGAGTCACCAGCTACCTGCCCGGGGCTGACAGCCTTGAGCTTGAAGCCCTGCCCAAGCCCAGGACTCTGTTCTGGCTAGTGGAACTAATCCACAGGTAGGAAGGCACATGTTATGGGGCATAAAGGAGAACTTAGAAACCTATTGAGATGACCTCTGGACCAACATGTATACATTGTGTGGACCTCTGGGTTTCCCTAAGTCATCTGGGTTTTTGGTTTGGTTTGTATTTTTTAAATTATTTTGTGTGTGGGGGGGGGGGGCGGCTGGAGAGATGGCTCAGATGGCTCAGCAGTTAAGAGCTGCGGCTGCTCTTCGGAGGTCCAGGGTTCAATTCCCAGCACCCCTAGGGCAGCTCAGAACTGTCTAACTAACTCCTGCTGCAAGGGATCTGACACCCTTACACAGACATCCAGTCAAAACACCAATGTACATAAAATAAATAAATGTTTAAAAAGCATCTTTAAAAATTGTTTTGTGTGTATGGATAATTTGACTGTACTTGTATTTATGGACCGTGAGAGCACATGGTCCATAAAGCTGAAAGTAGGTCACCAAGACCACAAAGTAGTCTTCTAATCTCCACACAAGTGCCCCACCCCCCCCACCACACACACAGACACACACACACAGATAAATAAGGTAGTGACAGGGAGACACCAAAATTTGACCTTCGAGCTCCACAGCCCCCCCACACACACTATGTACACACTATGCATAAGCACATACCACACACTCATAAGCATGCACTCGCGCATTCTCGTGACCACACACACCTGGCATGGATGCAGCTGAGTAGATCACTGCCTAACGTGCTCAAGGCACAAGGAGAAAATAAATTTTTCTTTTTAATCTTACGTGTATGGATGTTTTGCTTGCATGTATATATATATATGTGCGCCACATGCAAGCAGTGCCCAGGGAGACCAGGAGAGGGAGTCGGGTCTCGTGGCACTAGAGGTACAGGCGATTGTGAGCTGCTCTGTGGGTGCTAAGAATTGAAACCTGGTCCTCTGAACACCAAGTGTTCTTAACCACTGACCTGAATTTTCAGCCCCCGAAGAAACATTCTTAAATCGAGTCTTGCTTTTGAGGTGAACCAAATTTTAGAAACCTCGTAAGTAGGGCTGGAGCAGCGGCTCAGTAGTTATGATCACTGGCTGCTCTTGCAGAGGACACGGGTTCAGTTCCCAGCACCCACGTGGCAGCTTGCAACCATCTGTAACTCCAGCCCCAGGGGAGTCTACCCCCTCTACTGGCCCCCAAGGGCACCAGGTCAGCGCGTGGTGCACAGACACACAGGCAGGCACTCATATACGCCCACAGATAGGAGAAATCTCTGAAAATAAATGCAAGCTCTTGGGTCAAACTGTGAGCATCCAAGTGTGAGGGAGTGGACCAGGGCAGAGTCTTTCATGCACCAGTTCCTGAACTTGGGAGCTGCCCCTGGTTCTTTATTAAGGAGGCTTGGGAGCTGGAGCTGCCCGAGGTGAAAGTCTCAGAAGGCCACATGCGAGGCCCGGCCCTGGCCCCGTGTAGCATTGAGCCCACCCATTTTCCTCTCAGGAGTTTCTGACAGGGCATGCCGCCATCCCACTATGCCCACCCCATGGCATCCTCTCAGTTTCTGTGTGACTTTCAGCTCCTTGTATCTTTATAAACGGTTTCATGCAGTTAAGTTGCCCGAGCTCAGAACACGGCTTCAGGCACGGATTCTTGCTCAGAGGCTCTCGGAGCCACCGCCACGGTCAAAATGGCATCCAACCTCCATCTTTCATCTCAGGCCAATCCCTGCCTTTACAACCCTCCAGTGACTTTCCTCGGCAACTGGGGACAGCCAGCCCCCCTCACCCCAGCTCAGGAGCCTGCAAGGTTGACTGAGCATCTGAGCAACCAACCTCGTTTTCCTGGCTCAGGACATTTTACTCTTCCTGCCCATGACACTCTAATCCCCGATGCGTGATCGGCTGCCACCTGACCCCACTGCAGGCCCAGGTGCTACTTTAGGGAACCCTTCCTAAGACTCTAGTAAAGGGCCCTTCCAAACTCGGGCAGTTTTGTTCCCACCTATCTTGGGTCCATGTGACCACACGTGTGGACCCTGTTAATGGAGAGAGGCATGAACCTCATCTACCGCCTACAGTGAGAACCTAAAACGCTGCTAGGCTTAGCACGCACCGGGCAGCCTCCAACAGCCCAGCACTGACAGCAGCAACCGTCCAGCACTCGCCAGCTGTCGGCACCCTCGGCGCCATGCTGCCGCAGACAGAGCCGGTGTGTCCGGTGTGCTGTCCATTGGCTCCAGATGCAGCGACAATGACTCACTGTGGCAGACTTCCAGCTGTCAAGCCTTCGAGAGATGACCAGATCGTCCAGTGGCCTGGAGGTCCTCAGCTTGTCCACTCAGGACTTCCAGCCCTTTCTTCCCTTCTCTATTTGGCTTCAGGTTTCCTGGTGCCTGGCAACTTTCTTGGCCCCAACACAGCTAGCTCCCCGTGGTGTGAGAGACTGGGAGGAACCACAAGCCAGGAAGTTCTACTCACAAGGTAACTAACTGCACGTAGCAGAAGGGACCCCCACACCCTGGAAAGAGGAGGCGACAGGAGGTAAGAGGGATAAGGTCAGGGACTTTTCTTTTCCCTCCCTGTTTGTACTTTTGAGATAGGTTCTTGCTATGTAGCCCAGGCTAATTTCAAACACACCATCCTCCGGCTCCAGCTTCTTGAGGGCGGGGGTTACAGAGGCTCACCACTGCTGTGGTTATAGACCACACTTAATGCACAGGGTACAGAACAGTGGGAGTCTGCCGGGCTGCCCTGGCCCTCTGACCTCCCATTTGTTGCAATTCACATGTTAGAAACTTGATCCTCATTCTCATCTCTTAATGGTACTTGGA